CTTGCAGTCTTGCAGTCTTGCAGTCTTGCAGTCTTGCAGTCTTGCAGTCTTGCAGTCTTGCAGTCTTGCAGTCTTGCAGTCTCGCAGCCTCGCAGCCTCGCAGCCTTGCAGTGCCGGGGAACAACTACATAGGTACAGTGCATTGAACGTTTGTTTTTCCTACCAGAGCCTCAGCCGAGGCCGTTGTAGGAGCGCCGGAGCGGCGACACACGGTCGCAGACGCGGACGTTGAGATGGGGGATCGAGTGGCGAGTGCTCGGACAGATGGCATGTCGACTTCATTAATCACCTACGGCATTGTGTTGACGGCGGCGGAAGGGAGCAGCCGCGCCCGCAAGCGCGATGCGCTAAAGCGGTAGCCCCGCAACCGCGCCTTCCCGTTTCGTCAGTGTCACGGCCGGATTCACCAGAGCATGCGCGTCGAGTGCGGCTTCTCGGCGAGCCAGGTCCCGTGACCGGCGCAGTCCATCCCTAATCATGCTCCCAGCTGGCGTGGTTGGCAGCGATGATATCCCACAGCGAGAGGTCCCTGGCGTCTATCTGAAAGCACCCAGCTCCTTGCTCCTGATTCATCATCAGCATTGGCAGCAACAAGAACAGACCGAGACGCTCACCACCAGTCCCTGAACCCCACGGTGCTGACATTGACACCCAGCTCCCTGAGCGCCGAGGTGTCAAGATGGCAATCGTACGGCCTGGTGGTATCCTGGCCCGGCTCATCGTCCGGCCTTGACGGGGCGAGCTTGTCAAGCGGCAAGCCCGTGATGTCGGCGAACGTCTGTACCATCTGCCACTTGGTCATGCGGTCCTCGCTCGAGAAGTGCAGGATGGGGGGCAGGTCGGTCGCGGCGTTGTCGGGGCTGCGGTACAGGTCTGCAATGTCGCGGCACACGCGGCCCACGTCGTCGGTGTTGGTTGGGAAGCGCAGCGCCCAGTCGTCGACGGCGACGGCGGGCGCCGGGGCGTCGAGCTTCTGGGCGGCCCACAGCTGCGACATGAGCACGTTGACGGCGCTCTCGCGCGGCTCGTCGCAGGAGCCGTACAGCACGGGGACGCGCAGCACGACGGCGGCGTTGGCCGCGGGTGCGGATGCGGCCACGTCGAGGACCGCCCGCTCGCCCTCGAGCTTGGTGCGGCCGTAGACGTTGGGCGGGTCGGGCACGGAGGCCGGCTGGTACGGCGCCTCGCCGCGGCGGCCGGGGAAGACGTAGTCGGTGGAGACGTAGAGCAGGAACATGCCGCGGGCGACGGCGGCTTCGGCGAGCGCGCGGCTGGCCTGCACATTGAGGCTGTGTGCGGCGGCGGGGTTGGCCGAGCACGAGTCCGGGAAGCGGTTGGCGGCGCAGTGCACGACGACGTCGGGCTTCACGTCATCGAGGAGGGCGTCAATGTGCTTGCGGTTGAGAATGTTGAGCGCCACAATGTCGGGCGGGCTGGTGCGCGTCAGGCCGGTGCCGATGGCCTTCCACCCGCTGCGGGCGAACTGGCGCTGCACCTGGCGTCCGAGCAGGCCGCTGGCTGTGTGCGGCCGTCAGCGACTGCGCGGCGGGTGTGGCGTGGGCTGCTTGGGCTGGGTACCTCCCGTAACCAAGACGGTGCGTGTCGGAGCATCTGCCCTGGCGGTGGTGTCGGCCGCGTCGCTCGGGTCGCGGTACTCGCCTGCAACGGCGTCGAAGACGAGGATGGGAGGGAGTCGGGTCGACGTCGGGTCGGCCATGGTGGGCGTCAGTCCGGCCATGGTGGGCGTCCGTCGATCGGATGTCAGCTCGGCCGTGGTCGATCAGATGTCGGAGTCAATCAGATGTCGGGGTCAATCAAATGTCGGGGTCAGTCAAATGTCGGGGTCAGTCAAATGTCGGGGTCAATCAAATGTCGGGGTCTGGCGCGTCGGTGTCTGGCGCGTCGGCGAGGAGATCCCTGTCGCCGCGCCAGCAACGCGACTGCGGCCGCCGACTGTCGCGACTGCGGCCGGCGTCTCTCTCCCACGCCCGCCCGCGCCATGTCGACGATAACGCAGAACGCGTCCCAGAGCTCGTACCCGTACGGCCGCCCCTCTTGCCCTCTGCCTCTCGTCTCGCGCGCCGCCAGATTGTCCCTCGCGATTGTCGCTCGCCCGCTGACAGCTCCAGCCCGATCCTGCCCCGCGACTTCAACGCGAACCAGCCCCAGACGATCCGGCTGTACCCGCTCAGCAACTACACGTTCGGCACCAAGGATGGCCAGCCCGAGGAGGACCCGTCGGTGCTGGCGCGCCTGAAGCGCCTCGAGGAGCACTACGCCGCCCACGGCATGCGGCGCACCTCGGAGGCCATCCTGGTGTGCCACGAGCACAACCACCCGCACATTCTGATGCTGCAGATTGCCAATGCCTTCTTCAAGCTGTGCGTCTTCTGTGCGACTGCACCCCCACCCCGCCGCTGACCCCCGCAGCCCCGGCGACTACCTGCGCGCCGACGACGACGAGATCGAGGGCTTCAAGGCCCGCCTCAACGAGCGCCTGGCGCCTGTTGGCACGCAGTTCACCGGCGAGGGCGTCAACGACGAGTGGCAGGTCGGCGACACCCTGGCCCAGTGGTGGCGGCCCAACTTTGAGACCTTCATGTACCCCTTCATCCCGGCCCACGTCACCCGCCCCAAGGAGTGCAAGAAGCTGTACTTTATCCAGCTGCCGCGCAGCAGTACGTCTGGAGAAGTCTCTCCGTCACCACCATTGCATTTTGGTTGCATTGCCATGGCTAACACACACCCGCAGAGGTCCTCAGCGTGCCCAAGAACATGAAGCTCCTCGCCGTGCCCCTCTTTGAGCTCTACGACAACACCGCCCGCTACGGGCCCCAGCTCTCCGCCATCCCCCACCTGCTGTCGCGCTACAACTTTGAGTTTGTCGACGAGCACGGCAACGTCGCCGCCACCACCCCGGGCCAAGGGCCGCCCGAGGTTGAGCTGAGGACGAGGGTCCTGGCTGGAGGTGAGGATGTGAATATGCAGCACAATGGCGATGAGGCGAGTGATGTGACTGTTTCGTAGGGACTCGTCTAGTGCATGGTCTGGTCATGTATGTATTATGAATGGATTGAATGTACAGGTATGAATGTGAGTGGCTGCATGTCATGAGTGTGAGTGACTGCATGTCATGAGTGTGAGTGGCTGCATGTCATGAATGTGAGTGACTGCATGTCATGAGTGTGAGTGACTGCATGTCATGAATGTGAGTGACTGCATGTCATGAGTGTGAGTGACTGCGTGTAATGAATGTGAGTGGCTGCGTGTAATGAATGTGAGTGGCTGCGTGTAATGAATGTGAGTGACTGCATGTCATGAATGTAATGTAATAACGTAATCGGCCATTGAGTCGGCCAGGCAATTGAGCCGGCCACCTTTGCCAAGATCACACCTCATTCCACCTCTCATCTAATGTCTCAACAACCTAATCTTAGATTACTTCCTCGTGAGGATAGGATAATCCTTGCTATCTAAGCTATGAAATCCAACGCGTCAATAAGCCAATAGCGCGCTGCTGCTATCTATAACGTTCCTCAATCAACCCTCCAAGACTAACGCGCTAAAACCACCTCACAACGCGATTCCCACCACGGCAGATCAAGGCTTACTAAGCCTGAAGAGGAGGTGGTTATACAATACATAAGGAAGCTTGACGCGCAAGGCTTTGCCCCTACGCTAAGCTACGTACGTGAAATGGCCAATCAACTGCTAGCTGCCCATAGTGGTAGTAAGGTTAGAGAAAAATGGGCCAGGCACCTTGTAAACTGGAAGCCTGAGATCAAGTCTTAGGTAACTAGACAGCGCGATCACTAGAGAGTCTTGTGCAGTGATCTAGCTATCATCAGCCCCTAGTTCAACCTTGTGCGCAACGTCAAAGCTAAATATAGTATCCAGGACTAAGATACCTACAACTTTAACAAGACTAGCTTCTAGATAGGTGTTAGAGGGTCTGTCAAGGTGGTGACAGCGTCTAAGAGGCGTCTTAAGCCACTTAGAGTCTAGCCTAGCAACTGTAAATAGGCGACGTTAATTGCCACAATTAATGCCATAGGGTGGGTTATCCTGCCCTTTATCATCTTCAAAGCAAAGAACCACAACTAAGCCTAGTATCACAACCTAAAGGATTGGCGTATTGGTGTCAGCAAGAATGGCTGGACAACAAATGAACTGGGCCTAGAGTGGCTGAAGCACTTCATCCAGCATACAACAGCCCGGACAGTGGGTAGCCACCAGCTGCTGATTATTGATGGCCATGAGAGCCACAAGTCGCTTGCCTTCCAGGATCTGTGTGAGGAGAACAAAATTATTACTCTCTGTATGCCTCCTCACACCTCCTATATCCTACAGCCACTTGATGTGGGCTGTTTTGCCCTATTAAAACGAGCATATAAGACAGAAATCAATGTCTTAGCAAACAGCCACGTCACTCACATTAACAAGAAAGTATTCTTAGCTGCCTTTAATTAGGTGTTTAATAAGGCGTTTTTATCTAATAATATCTAATTAAGCTTCTAAGCAACAGGCTTGGTTCCAGACAACCTAGAGGTGGTGCTATTAAAGCTTGAAGTGAAGCCTTGTACGCCAACACCACCTTTACCAGGGCCTACTACCTAGCAACCTAGAACACCAAGCAACGCTGCTGAAATATTAGCTCAATCAACGCTAATATCTGACCAGATTAGGCAGCACCACAGTTTATCTCCAGCTTTAATTATTAAGATGGTGCAGCAGTTCAAAAAGGGAGCTAATATGATGGTGCATTCCTAGGTGCTTATGGCGGCTGAGATGGTTAAGCTTTAAGCAGCAAATAAAGCTGCTTCTAAGTGTAAAGCACGTAAAAGGAAGCAGATCTAGTATAGAGGAACCCTATCACAGCAAGAGGCAGAGGAAATAATAGCTGCACGAGAGGTGGTGGTGCAGGCAGAGGCAGAGAGGCGTGAGGAGAGGGTGCGAATAGGTGGTAGTAGAGAGGGTTCTCAACGCTGTGGGAGGTGTGGTCAGGCTGGGCACAATAAGCGCACATGTAAGCAAGATACTGTAGACAGAGTGGATTAATTTGACGTACTGTGAGCCACAGCACGACGTTGTGGTGTTGAGTTATCTGCGTGTTAAGGTGGGTGGCTGCATAAGGTGGCCGGCTCAATTGCCTGGCCGACTCAATGGCCGATTACGTTATCAAAATATCAAAATATCAAAATGTCAAAATATCAAAACCCCCTCGCCTCACGGTCCACAACCGGAATCTCAAACTTATTGCGTCCACGCACCACATAATACACCCCGCCCAGCACCACCCACCCGACCATGACCACGGTCGAGTAATTCATATTCTGCGCCGTCACAGGCATAAACGTCGGAAACGTCGAAAACACAATACACAGCACGAGCCACGCGCACGACAGGATGTTCAACCCCAACCCCAACGCCTTGGGCATCTTGAAGAACCCAAACTCGTGCTTCGCCAGCCGCGGCCGTCCGTACACCATAAAGTACACAATCGGAATCAGGTAGGATGTGTACAAGCCCAGAATCGCCATGGACAGGATGGCGTTGAACGCCGTCGAGTTGCCCAGGTAGATGAAGCCCAGCAGCATCTGCAGAATCGTAATGAGCACCACGGCGCGCACGGGAATGTGCGATGCGGGATTGACGTGTGCAAAGTAGCGGTCGAATGGAACGGCTTTATCGCGCGCAAACGCCCAGACCGTGCGGGATGTCGATGTCACGCCTGCAACGGTGGCGGCGGCGGCGATCAGCGTGATGATCAGGCTCATCACCGTTGCGCCCGCGGCTGATTGCGTCGCGTCCAGGAAGATCTGCATAAAGGGAAAGCCCGTCGGCGTCGCGAGCAGCACGTCCAGCTTCCCCGTCGCGAATAGGATCATGATGCAGTAGCCCAGGCCCAGGATGCCGTTGACTGTGACGGAGCCCACCATCGCCATGGGCACGTTGCGCGTCGCGTTGGGCATTTCTTCCGCGAGATGACATGCCGCGTCGTATCCGAGGAGGGGGTAGACGGACGACAAAAGACCGACGAGCCAGGAGACGCCGTCGTTGGACCAGCCGCTTGAGTTGGAGACTTCGGTGAAGACAAACGACGCCGTGTTCTTCGGTGCCATGACGCCGAGAGTCACCAGGATGGCGAGGAAGCCGGAGATGTGCAGTACACCTAATCGGTTAGCGGGTATGGATGCGAGCGAGGCAGCGTTGCTCACCGGATACCAGATTGGCAGTGGGAAGCATCTTCGCCCCCCAGATGTTCATGGCCGCGGCATAGAGGAGGATCGCCCAGTAGAACAGCAGCCCCTGCCACCTTTTCGGTACGTAGCTGTCATCGTTCAGGATGATCAGTGCCTGGAATTGGAGCCCAGACGCAAAGGCAGCGGATGCCGTCAGAACAATCTGTCCTCCAACGTTGATCCATCCAGTGAGCCATGACGCTGTGGCTCGGGATGAAGATGGAGCGAGCGCAGCCACCCAGTGGTACTGTCCTATCGGATCGTCAGCCGGCGTTGAAGCGTAGCCTTGAAGTGCGAGACATACCTCCTGCAGTTGGGAAGATGGACGCAATCTCGCCCAGCGAGCAAGCAATTGCGATTGTGCAGATGACTGACATGAGCCTGGTCGTGTCAGATAACGTCGAACCAAGCACTGTTTGCGGGAACATGGCTCACAGATTGAAGAACAGACAAGGGGCACCGCCTGTCGTCAACGCAGTAGCGATGACTGTTGACAGCGCTTCCCACGTTCCCATCAAACAAAGACTCAGGCTGCCTAGTGACCATAGTGAATAGTTTCTCTGCAGTTCCTGGACGTGTCCGAGTTGTGCCAGCCGATCGTCGTCGTCGTCTGCGGTTGGGGCGAAGTGCTTGACATCGTGGTCTATCACTGACTCTGCCATGTCGATGTGTTCGCAATTCGTTTTTGGGTGGATCTCTGTCATGTTTCTGGGTGAAAAGCCAAGAACTTATACAAAAGCTGGCAATACTTGATGAAAGATAAGGTCTACGTTCAAGTCACCTATCTTGGAAGAGTACGGTGCATGGTGGTAGATAGTGATATGCCAAAACGAGGCAGGGCGGAAAGATTCCGGGGCTGCGGTAACTGGTTTCCCAGGCTGGGTCTGCCTGCTCGTTCGCTGGATTGACAGGGAACCGAGCGAAATGCGGGGGTTAGTGTGCATCTCCACGATCCAGAAAGGCCGCTTTGCCAATACCGCTGGACACTTGGTATGCTGTAGGTTAGCAGTGTTCGGTCTCGGTGAGAATGTCAACAATGATCTTGGCATCGTCAAGGTTGTTTCGGAAGCTCGCGGATACAGCAATCACCGGTTCATCGGTGATCCTCGAGAGAATATGTGGTTCCTGCCTGAACGATGTTCGCGTGTAGTTCCAAGCAACGTCGAGGCTCAAGTGCAGATGCAAATGCAGCCTCCATCAGGTTCCGCGCGTAGACTATCTCTGGTATTTGACCTGATGGCAAACTGATAAGAGCGGAGGATGCCCCAAGCCGGTCTAATACTGTGTGAACGAGGGACGGCGCGGATGGTGCGCGACACGCGGCAGATAAGGAGATGGAGGCCGATTTGTAGTTCGGAAGTTGGGACGGAACAGATACACAATTTCCGGATCTCACCGATTGGCCAATTCAACCTTCAATCTTAGCGATCCTGCGCAATGTCGAGGCTGATATTGCCTGGATGACCTGACAAAGTAATCTCGAGCAATTCGCGCTGCATGAAGGCATTGTCGATGCGTCAAATGTGCGGGCCAGCGCTTAGGGGCGTTCAAAAGGAGGGGAGGACGCTGCCGCCAATGCCTACACAAGTACATGAATTTAGGAATATAGGAGGCAGCTTACAACAACGCGTCAGTACAGTTACCGGCGGACAATCAGAAAGCTGAACAGGTTCGCCGCAGAGCAGGAGCTCGTGTGAGCTCAGGAACGAGCGTCAGACCCACCGGACTTTAGCGAATGTACTTAGGTACCGCCATCGCCAACCTCACGCAATACACGACTCTTCCGTCACCACTGTTCTTCATCTCGATGCAATAGCCAATGCGTGTCGCCTCACACTCCGAGATTCCAGAAGAAGACGCGATATGAGCGTGATCTGAGAGATTTGCACCGACATGGCGGCGTCGGGCGGGGTCTCGCAGCTCAGAGGTACAAATGAAGTCACATAAAGAGCTTGTTGCAACCCCTCACGAGAGCTTCCCCTCAGCTTAGCACAGCTACCAAATAGCAGCGATAAGCTTCAAAGACCTCATCTTCAGCTTCAACGACCTCATCTTCAGCTTCAAACAGTGTTCGTTGACCTCCATCGTCTCTCTACAGCTCAATTGAAGCCTTGTGTATCATTGGCCACCCGGAGCATCAAGCTTGTTACACCAGACACCATCATGGCCGCAAAATACTCCCGCCGCCCCTCCCACCTCAGCGAGCCTCTCTCTCCCAGCATCATCCCCGAGCTCGCCATCCTTCCTCAGCCTCTCTCCACCGACGCTCTTCCCTGCGGCCAACTTGTCTCACGCAGCTCCAAGCTGACACCCTCCAACCTGCACGACCGAGACTACGACGACATCGGCACGCGCTGGTACAAAGACGTCATCTTCTTCGACTCAAACACGGGCAACTTCCTCGAGTCGTTCGGCGGCACGCATCTTGTTGAGAAAGCCCTTGCTCCCGGCCAGGAGGCTGGCACCATCGAGGCCGAGGAGCAGACGGTAAGGCTACTGAAGGACCCCGAGAGCAGCCTGAAGAAGATCTGGGCCGAGGATGATGCGGCGAGGAAGTGGATCCGTGAGCAGGACGAAGCCGGATTCGTTGTTGCTGTTCGAGCTGTAAGCAACGCGAGCTACAAGCGTGCGAGGCTTGTTGACACGGGCTTGAACTCGTGGGAAGTTGTGCGGGAGATTGGCGGCGAAGACAAAAGCGGGAAGAGGAGGGACTCCGGACTTGATGTCAGGCCTACGAATAGCAAGCTCGATGTTGTCGGTGTTGTGGTGAGGAGGATCGTCATGGAGGGTGACGATGTGGGACTTGGCGGGGAGCTGGGTGCTGAGTACTGGAACTGAGTGAGAGGTTGGTACCTCGTCATCGCATTCATATTGACGAGACGATGGTGGGTTGGGTCGACGTTTGCGTTATCCCTACTATTGCATACTTCACTCGCGCATCTAATCTACCTCCGTGGTGCCGATACTCTGACCCTCCATACTGCGTGACTCGACCTACGTATTCTGGAACATGGTTGGCATTGCAACTCGATACCTCTGATTATTCAACACAGCCTGGATTTTTGCAGCAACTGAACAGGGGTCAGGCGATCTTCTGAGAATCGTAGTACTGCTACCGCGGAGCTGGAACGGTCTCAGGTTTTAGGTACTACTGAGGTATGAGATACACCAAGCCCCGGTCGGCCTGATCTTGCACGGTCTCAGTCTCAATAGCCAAGATCCTCAGGTATCGTCTCGTCATCCTCATCTTCTTCCCATTGCAGATACGTCCCGCTCAGCAATTCGCTTAGCGCCTTTTAAAACTCCGCTCTATACTGGTTGACAAAGTGCACGACTGCACACTCCTCAATTTTGGCTGCGCAGGCGAGTTCTGTTGGGATCTCAAGGGCACTGTACTATCTATTGTAGCCGAAGTCGCCAGACCGCCTGAGCCTACATTGCATCGTCCGCACCAGCATGGCACTAACATCTTCGACTGTGTCCACGTCAGGCAACTCGGACATCAGGACCTAAGTCTCTTAAGCGCACAAACAATTTGCGTGAAAAGGCTTTTGCCCGCCCAGGTCCAATGGGCAGGAGTCTATTCAAGCACGAATGTCGTTGACTCGGTGGAACCCGTCTATGGAACAACCCATGCTCACAGAAATGGTCGCTTGGAGGAATCGGGTGCTAAACAGCATAAGCGCAGTATCTTCACCCAACCAGACATCTACGTCAGCTGCCTGACGACAGATTCGTCCCATACGTGCCACTTGATGCATCTTTTCCTCGAGGTCCTCCTGGTTGATACACAGCGCATCAATCCAGAGGATGTGAGGAGTAGCAGACGTGCGCAAACAATCTTACAAGTCCCGTCTGATGGCAATATGCTGCTCGACATATGTGGTCGCATCGTAGACGAGTATGACGCCTTTAGGTTCGGCCTCACCCTATGCATAAGACGGGGCTTCATAGCGTATGTTCACAAGGTTCTCGCATTCGGTGATGCGGCATCGCAGATACTGGGTCGCCACGATCATACCAATGGTGGCTGGGTCATAGCTGGAGCAATCTGATCGATGTAGGGAAGCGCAAGGGTGCGTGCAGCTATCGATCGATGCCAGTTGCTGCCATGGTTCATGCGAGCCCGAGAACCTATCAGAGTAGATAGAAAGCTTGACGCTGGTCTCGGTCGGCACCCGTGGCTTCCGGTTCATTTCATGAGTGGAATAGAACGTGTTGCGCCTTCGCACGTAGACGGCTTCTGGAAGCTCAGCGCTGAGTTTCAGCCTAGCCACATAATGCAGGCGCGAACGCCATTTCTCATTGCGACAGGTATGCAGAAGGCGGTGCGTTTACATCCCCACCCTCATATTCCCCGTCTCGATCCACAACGCTGCGCCTCCTTATTCTGCATCGCACACCTGCTCACCGGGTGCGAACTCCGTTGAAACTCGCCTTGATTGATGAACGCCAAGACTCCAGCTTCGCTGGCTGCGACGGTCGTTGGTGGGGTTGCGGAGAGGCGTTCGGCTGGGACGAGACCGGCGGGTCCACCGCCCACGATAACGTAGTCAAAGGACGTTGAGGGATCGCATGGTACGAGGACGAGTTGAGCTGTTGAAAAGATGGTTAGTGGATTGGGCGACATCTTTTTCCAAGCCTTGAAGCGTTGCAGGGCGAGTCTGGCTGAAGGTAAAACTGCGTACTGCTAGTGTGATGGCGGTTGGTCAGTTAATAATCCCGGTGAACGTCGCTGTCACTGAGCGTCTGCTGGAGGCCCTACATCCCAAATAAAGTTGCCAGCTGACTTCGTTTGAGGCGTTCGATGTCCGACTCTTCGATCGTTGGAGTCTGCTTGCTTGTAGAGCCTTTGAGATCAGGACGTTCTTGCAAAGCTGTCGCAGTCAATCCTGGCGTCGAGACAGTGCATCACTCGTATGTTGGCGAGAGCTTTGAATCAAGAAAATCTGTACAGTTACTGCAGCGAGATACCGCTCAGCTCGCCTGCCTCTACTCTACGCTCCAAGCGAGCTTTAGTCCAATTCGCGATAAGGAAAACATCACATAGTGATACAGCATCCTGCCCTCCCGTTCTGTCCGTCTAGATAGGAAATCGATCATATTGGCATTTACATGAGGGCGCTTGCAGGCTCGTTGAGATATTGGGTCGGCGGGAGAGTTCAGGTATTGCGGACATGGGAGTGTGACTCTCTACTTCTCATCGGGGTACATGGCCTCCTTGAGGGGGATGCCGAGTTCCTCGCGGATAGGCTCGAGCTCCTGGAGGTACTCTTCGTACTGGTTCTTGTTCTCAACCTTGAACTTGACACCTATCGAGTTTGTTAGTAATCAAACGCGGCTGAATGGGCGTTCGCGAATCCACTGATCACGCCATTTGGTGTATGCGCATTCGCGGGACCGCGTGAAAGGCTCCAGCGCTAGACGGACACGTATGGGACGGTTCACGTACCCTCGAAAACTCGGACGGCCGAGGGGAAGTCGTTGACACGCCTGGCAGCGCGGAGAGCGGCGGTGATGACGGAGGGCGAGGGGACGAGATCGTAGGCGAAGCAGTTGTTCAGGTTTCGCTGCGCAATTGTCAGGTCTCTGCCCTTGCGTAGGGCTCCCAACGAGCGCACCCGAGCGGCTCGGGTGATGCCGGTGGGGGCCGTGATGTTGTGCTTGGCAGACATACCTGAAGCTCGAAAACATCGTTGACCTTCTCAAACTCCTTCTCGTACCTGTTCCGAAGACACACCCGTCAGCGATACAGCTTCTCGCAAGCTCCCTGGAGCTCAATGGCTGCCGTCTGTGCCCGGACAGCTCCCTCCCCTGTCCGAGCGCGCAGCCCCTCCACGGATGCGTCATACCTGGCGGTGAACTCCTCGAACGTCTCCTCAGCGTGCGCGTCGCTGCACCTGACGGCGGACTGGGAGAAGGCGCGCTGGGCGTTCCAGGCGACGGGGGTCGGGCGGTAGACCGGGGCACGAACGGCCGCACGGCTGATCTTCGAGGATGCGCGAACGAAGGACATCTTGTGTCTCAATTAGCCTGAGCCGGGCTCGAAAAATGCGTGTAGGAGGAATTGGGGGGCGTAGCCGTACGGTGATGTGGTCGGTGGTGGGTCGGAGGTCGTTCTGCTGATGCGTCAAGTCTATCTCCAGATTTCACACCTGCCGGCCATGGCCTGATTCTTGGCAAACCGGCCAAAGCGTCAGACGCAAGCAACCACCAATCTTGCCATCATCATATCAAAGGACATCTTGAATTTGGACTTTTGCTATTTCTGCAAATTGGACGGTAAAACTCCAGCTCGTTTGAGAGCTCATTCTGGCCTTCGAACACTGTGAAGCCTGACTTTTGCTCAGAGCGCTAGATATTGTACAAGCCTCCAAACGGCGTCGGGCCCTCTGACACTGCTCGTGCGGACATGACAGCAGCATTGTCGTCACCGTCATCCTCTTCCCACACACCATCTGCGTCCCCAGCCGGCTCGTCTTCTATATCGTCGTCTTCTTCTCCCTCATCCTCGTCGTCATCCTCGTCATCCTCGTCGTCCTCGTCATCCTCGTCATCCCCGCTGCTCTCAACAGTCGCAACAACCTCATTGGAAGTCGCCTCTGCCATGTCTGGATCGTCTGGGTACTCCGTCAAGTCCTCAGGGATCTCCGCTTCCTCAGCGAGCTCTGCTCCGGCACCTTCGCTCACATTGCTCGCTGAAACATCCTTCCTCTCCATGTGCTCGAACGCGTATCGAGGGTTTCTTGCAGCGACACGGACATTATGCATGATCTCGTGTTCTCGCCGCTTTGCTTCGTGTATCTCACGGTCGTTGACTTCGTCTCGATAGGCAGCGAAGACTTCTTTATCGTCCCAGATCTCTGGCCATTGACAGACGCGGTCGTACAACGTGTTATTCGGTGCTTCGCCGCTTATGATTGTGTTCATCTTGTCTTTCAAGATGACCGTCACTTTGGCCCATGTACCTACATGGTACCATCCCTGGAAGGTTGGAGCGCACGTTGTTCGAATGTTCTCTGTCGCTAGAATCTTGGCGAGCAAAGGGTCAGTGATATCGCAGAACTGAAACGTGTTACCAGTATCCGAGGCGTGAATACCGTCGAACGTGTGCTGATGCTCGAGCTGCTCCGCAGTCATGCGGCTCAGCTCTTGAACGTGCTTGTCGAAAGCGTCGTGATGCCTAGCAGTCCCTCGTTTCTTGTATGACATGAAGGACACAGTCTGGTACTTTCGGTACTGAGGATCTGTACGCGGATCCACCCCCCAAGCGATGAGTGCTTCTCGCCACGGGCCGCTCTCGAAGAAGTACCCACAGTACACTGCAGCCTGTCGTAGTCGTGTACGCTTGTCCCAGCCGAGCTTGTTGTAGAGCATGTGCCGTGTGATGATAGGTCTCTCCTTCAGCAGTTCTCTAATCTGCGCCACCAGAGTCTGTAGATATGGTGTCAGAGACAACTCTGGCTGCAGGGTTGGTTTTGGCTGAGTCGGGACAGCATCGTCGGTAGGCCGAAGAATGATGTAGCTGTTATACTGGAAGCGCTTCTGCAGATTGATCTCGCCTTGATCAGTGTACTTGACGTAAGCATTTTGCTGGAACCTTTGACGCAATTAGTAAGGGCTCAATGACGGGTGGCACTGCCTTACTTGTAGTTGAATGCGATGGGCATCTGCAGAAATTCTGCTGAGGGACCAACGCTCTTTGTCAGATCTGCACCAGCGGCCGTGTTGATGTTATACTTCTGCAAGTCGGCATCTTCGTCAAGATTAATCAAAGTCGGGCTCAAGGCTCGGGCTTCACTCACAGCGTGCGGACAAGACATGGTCTCGGAGACCCACCATTACATCGTTCTGAGACGCAGCGTACTGCAAGTCCGGCATGGCTTATCGAGTCAGTAGCTGTTCCCCGGTCCAGACCCCCTCAACTGCTTACCTCGAAAACGATGTGTTTCCTCGACGATCCCAGCGAATACAAACTTGTACTTGGATACATTGTCTTGCAAAGCCCGGTAGATGTCTGCAGCTTCGACATAGTTGTTGTTCGTTCGGCCTGCATTGGTGGCATTGCTCGCTCCCTCAAGCTCGTCTTCAGCCAGAAACGGACCAGCAGTGCCACGCTTTCTCTTTCTGCCAGTCCGTTTGGGTACAGTCACTTTGAGTAGCAGGTTGCTGGTCGTTACCGGCGTTGACAACAAACGCTTGGCAAAAGGGTCGTTTGGCCGCAGTGACACAGAAACCAGCTTCTTCAGCTCGTCATCGCCCTCGTCGTTGGTGGCTGTCTCCAGCCTGGATCTCAGACCCTGCAATGCGTGTTAGCCACCAAGTGTGGACCTGCAGCTCGTCCTCTGACCTTGCTCAGTTTGACTGACCCGCCCAATGAGGTAATGCCCTTGTCAACGTTTTTGATGATACATGGGTGCTCGATGGCCGAAATGGCGCGAGAAGGGATGGGCAGCCACGGCGCAGGCTCAGTGCCGGCACTTGCAGAGCGCATGTCACGGGTGTTGTTGTTCATGGTGGGCGTGAGCTTGAAGATATGTGCGCCACGAGCGAACTGCCCCCTCGATAAAAAGGGTCTACAGCTGCGACCGATTGATCGAGCGATTGTGCATGCAGCGATAGCAAGGCGTGCAGCTGTGCAGCAGTAGTCTCACGCTCCTCAGAACGCTGCACTGTCGTTGCATGGTCCTCACTGGCGACATGGGCGCGCAGCGTCTGAGGTTGCGAGACGGCGATGCTGCCGCTCTTGAGATTGGGCGGGGAGCGTGCTTCGCGCTAACAACATGTACGAACGAACGGCATCTGCTGGGGGCTCCACCACGCAACATCACGCTGGAGCCCGCTGAGTTGGCCTCTGGACGTTCTACACGCATTCATCCTGTCGGCCCCCTCGTAGCGCGCCCATCTGCCCTCCCGACGTCGTCGTCTCCACTGCCCGTCAGCGTGTCGTCGCCTGTGCACGAGCAGCTCGCCCCCTCTTCTGCGCGCTCTCTTCGACGCCGACGGCCGCGGGCCATCCTGAAGACCACCACCCGCGACGATCTGCCCGACACGCGTCCGCTCTCCATGCCGGCCTGAGCCCTACGCACACCTCCGCCTGCGACATCACCCGTACATCACGTGTCTTTCTCCCGCACCGCTGCATTGGCGCTCCTGGGTTGCGACTGCACACCGGACGCCTCGCGGGCCTCCCCATTGCGCACGCACCTCCGACGCCGCACCACTCCCGCACCGCTTGACGAGCTGCCCTCGCGCAGGCCGCAGCAGTCATGAAGGGCTTTAGGCAAAGGGTTGTAAGTCCCCACCTGCACTTGGTTGCTGCGTCTCCTGCGTCCCCTCGCGCCCCACCTCCGCGGCCAAGGGCGCAGAAGCTAACATGGTTAGCATGAACAGCTCTCGAGAGCGAAGGACGGTAACAAGTCATCTAAGAAGAAAGACTCGACCTCCGGTACCGCATCGCCCTCGCAGGGCACGAGCTCGCCCGCCAATGTCACGCCGTCCTCGTCCCAGACGCAGCTCGCCGACGCCCGCAAGAACGTGCCCTCCGCCGACGCCCAGCCCAGCAGCGGCTCTCTGCAGCCCGGCCAGCAGGGCGCGCCCGGCGCATCAGCCGGCGCAATGTTTGGTGGGCCTGGAGGCATGACAGGCGGCGCGGCGCCAGCAGCCACACCCCACAGAATGGGACAGCCCTTGGTGCCCAACGTCACCATCAGCCCCAGCGCTCCGGTAAGTCGTCCCTCTTTCGTACGCGTTGCGCACACTGACCCTGGTGTTGCAGCATGTTCCTCCTCCCGGCACGGCTGAGACGATGCCCGGCGACCTCGCTCCTCCCAAGGCTGGCCAGAAGTCGAACGTGTTCGACCGCCTCCAAGCCACGCCCAAAGACAATATCGAAGGCATCAGAACACCAAAGCGCCAGCACTCGTCCCGATTCGACATCTCAGACCAGCGCCAGCGCGAACTCGAGAAGCTGCCAGGCTTCCACGAAGTACCACCGAACAAGAGAGAGGAGCTGTTCGTGCAGAAGATCGACCAGTGCAACATCATCTTCGACTTCAACGACGCGAGCGGAGACATGAAGTCAAAGGAAATCAAGCGCTTGGCGCTGCACGAACTGCTCGACTACGTCGCCAACAACCGACAAGTCATCACAGAGAAGATGTACCCGCTCGTCGTCCAAATGTTCGCAAAGAACCTGTTCCGTCCTATCCCTCCGCCAATGAACCCTCAAGGAGAGGCATTCGACCCCGAGGAGGACGAGCCGGTGCTGGAAGTAGCATGGCCGCACATCCAGGTCGTCTACGAGTTCTTCCTCCGCTTCATCGAAAGCCAAGACTTCAACACAAACATCGCCAAAGCCTATATAGACCACAGCTTTGTGCTGAACGTGAGTGGCGCTTTGACGGTCCATACACGAGATCAAGCTAATGTGTGATAGCTTCTTGAGCTGTTCGACTCTGAAGACCCGAGAGAGCGCGACTTCTTGAAAACCACGCTCCACCGCATATACGGAAAGTTCCTCAACCTCCGCTCATACATTCGCCGCTCCATCAACAACGTCTTCTTCCAATTCATTTATGAGACAGAGAGGTTCAACGGCATCGCAGAACTGCTTGAGATTCTCGGGTCCATCATCAATGGCTTTGCTCTCCCACTGAAGGAGGAGCACAAGCTTTTCCTGACCAGGGTGCTGATACCCCTGCACAAGGTCAAGAGCTTGAGCATGTACCACCCACAGCTGGCGTACTGTATTGTACAGTTCCTCGAGAAGGATGCCGCTCTCACAGAAGAGGTCGTTTTGGGTCTCCTTCGCTACTGGCCCAAGGTAAACAGCACCAAAGAGGTCATGTTCTTGAACGAGGTGGAAGACATCTTCGAAGTCATGGACCCGGCCGAATTCGCCAAGGTCCAGGAGCCCCTGTTCAACCAACTGGCAAAATCGGTGGCCAGTCCTCATTTTCAGGTTCGTTCGCCCTTGATTAGACTCTTCGGCCACGACTAACTTTTCGTGCAGGTCGCTGAACGCGCGCTCTACTTCTGGAACAACGAGTACTTTTGCAACCTCGTTAGCGACAATGTTGAGGTCATTTTACCAATCATGTTCGCACCGTTGTACGAAAACTCAAAGGGCCACTGGAATAGGTATGCTGTCTCCCAGATTTGCGCGTGAAGCCACTGACACTGTGACAGGACCATCCATGGCATGGTGTACAACGCTATGAAGCTGTTCATGGAAGTCAATCCTCAGCTATTCGATGACTGCTCACATGACTATGCCGAGTCCCAGAACAACGCAGGTCAAAGAAAACAGAGCCGACAAGACCGCTGGGACAAGCTCGCTCAGCTCGCCGAAGCACGCCAAAACGGGACAGCGCCGCCACACGACTCGGATCCTCTCAGCCAGGGACGATTGGAGAACCTACGGCTGCAGGACGACGGAGTTGCACGAGAGAGGCGGCCGAAGGAGTACGAGCGACAGAGCAGTCAGACTTCGGTACGTTGATTCTTAAGTCCTTAGAACTCAGGATGAGCATTTTCTACGGCCGAATCGATGTACTCTTAATTCTATCCCTAGATGTCTAGGCCGTTTTGTTTTGTTCAAGACTTGTATTTTCGGTTCAGGTGGATCTGACGTTCGTGCTTGCTCGTTGCAGCGCCGGCATCATGTCGCTCATGGCGGCCATCACGCTCATACAACTGGACGGCGGGCATCGGTTGGTCGAGCCCGCAGCAACAGCACGTCTAGCGGTAGCACAACATCGTCGCGCAACGGAGGGGCGCCTCTCGTCCGTACAAAATCTGGCGAAAAAGCTGGCAAGGCTGTCACGAAAGTCGTCTCGAATTAGCGTCATGGCGAGCAATATATTATTTTCTTTTCAACTCTTCTACTTCTTGACTTGGGCATCTCGGTCACGGTCCCTGTCGGTGTCGGTGCGACTGCTGGAGGTTGCGTCTGGTCAAAGCGGGCGGGATCTTGTACGGTTGTTCACTTGGTACCGGCGTTCGTAGATGCTTCAAAAAGTTAGGCAGACAGCGATGCAATCCCAAATGTAATAGACATTGAATCACGACTTTCATTTGACGTTGCGTTCCACATACTGTCAGGCGTCTTCTCGGTCGCCAAGGTTTCCGAGCGCGACTTCCTCATCGAGCGAGAACGGCAGTTTGAAGGGGTGCACATGTCTAGTTTTCACATGCAGCTGTTCAGAGTGTATTGTTGGCACGTACGTCATGCTTCTGAAACCTTGGGACATTTTCTGACGCTGCGCTTGAAGACATGCAAGTGAAGTGGCAGCCGCATGCAGCTTCACCAGCGCTGAGTCAGCACTTCCTGCAAGCATTACTACACGTCTGCTAGGACGAGAGCAACTGAGCCGCACATGACCAATTAGAAACAAGGAAATGCCTCGGCCAGCCAGCCAGTCGTAATCTGTACGGCTCCCTGCGTAGCGGCGCGCGTTCGGAAAGCGCGGAGGTGTGTGGACGTTCAATCTCCGACCTCCTTTTGGCTGGTTGCGAAAAACATTGGCGCTTGACCAACAAAAGCCTCGTTGAACCACTTCTTTCTTGTACTGTCGTGGTGCTCGTGTCTTCTTCACACACTTCCTCGTCCTTCCTTTGGCTCTACTCGCTGCCTTCTTCAACACGCGCCTGCTTGTTTACAAGAGCAGCCCTCAGCGTATCACTCCGCATACACAGCGCGGAGCACATAGACCTCGTTCACCGGCATCGATTCCAGCACACGACCCACAATGGGTGTCGACTGGCTTGAGGTTGGCGTTCCTACGCTGGACCGCCCCTTCGGTGTCAAGCTCTGGCCTATCTTCGAGAAGGCTTTTGAGCCCATTGCTGGCTACAAGCCGCAGGACTTCCGCTTCGTCCAGGGCGAAACCCCGCTCTCGACATTCAAGACCTGCGCGACTTTCCTTGTCACATACTACATTGTCATCTTCGGCGGTCGTGAGCTGATGCGCGGACGCGAGCCGTTCAAGCTCAACTTCCTGTTCAAGGTCCACAACTTCTACCTCACCGCCATCAGCGGCATACTCCTGGCGCTCTTCGCTGAGCAGCTGATCCCCACGGTCGCCCGTCACGGTCTCTTCTTCGCTATCTGCGATCACAAAGGTGGCTGGACCGACAAGCTGGTCATTTTGTACTACGTATGTGAAAGCACCAGAAACTGCAGGGACAAAGCTAATCTGCGTAGTTGAACTACCTCACCAAGTTCGTTGAGCTGATCGACACTTGCTTCCTGTTCCTCAAGAAGAAGCCCCTGAGTACGACGGTCTGGCAACTCTGGATGCGCAATAGCTAATGACGACAGCCTTCCTCCACACTTACCACCATGGCGCGACCGCTATGCTCTGCTACACCCAGCTCATTGGCCACACCCCCGTTTCCTGGCCTGTCATCACCCTGAACTTGGCTGTTCACGTTGTCATGTACTGGTACTACTTCCAGAGCGCGCGTGGCATCCGCATTTGGTGGAAGAAGTACATCACAGTTGGCCAGATCACCCAGTTCGTTCTCGATCTCGGTATGCAGCTCCTTCTCAGCTCCTCTCAGAAACCAGTCACTAAATGTTCCCAGGCTTCATCTACTTCGCATCGTGGACCTACTTCACCAGCACCTATGCACCCGAGCTGCCCAACATGGGCAAGTGCGCCGGCGAGGAGTTCGCTGCCATCTCCGGAATGATCATCATCACCTCGTACCTCTTCCTCTTCATCGGTTTCTACCTCGCTACATACAAGAAGCCGGCGCCTAAGGGCCGCCGCAGGGCCACCAGCGCGTTGATCGAGATGAAGGATGAGAAGGTACCAACCGTTGGTGAAGCCCGCAGGCGCCTCTCAACCTCTCGCCCCGTCTTCTCGTCTAACGGTGTTGCTACAGGTGCTTCGCCCAGCGGAACACCCAACGGCCGCACTACCAGGAGCCGCAAGGCCTAAGCGAGTCGGTCTCTTTAGCCCATACAGCAGAATAACAAGCCGAAATGAGCGGTCTTAGACAACCCAAGACAGCCGGCAGCTGCAGATGTGTTCGAGCGCCTCCACGGTCTCAGCATATCGCGGCCGCATGCATGCGATGGCGGCACTGCACGTTGCACAAGCCGCGCTTCTTTTTTCATTCATTGGCACGATGCAGTCTGGACGGCTGCCGTTTCGTATCTCATTGTAATTGTTACGGTGTGGGGTTGCTCCTTCGTCGGCACCCACTGTTACGAAAAGTCGCAACTTCAGTTGCATGCCTGTACGACTACAGCTGTTGGCGTCACGACGGTCATACTGGGCGGTGTTGATATGGGTTTGCTGTACGGACCTTGGTCTGTGTGTTATGTACAGTAGAGTGATGAGGTATAATGCATAATTAGCCACATATTCTCAAACTGTTCTTGTGATTCCCGGTCATGCAGTGATATTGTGGTGGCGTTGATGGATTTTCGAACGAGTTAGTTGACTGCTTGAAAGTCGCGAAAAATCACGTACAATCTGCCATTGATTTTGCTGCAACCTTGACAGAGCCACGTTGACACGCAGTATCTAGCACCGCAACCACACAGCACAACAGAGGCGATTAATCCTGCAATATGACACGTAAGTAATCGTCTATGCATGGTCCATCGATGCCTTTGCTCCTAGCATCCAGATGACTGCATGATATTGAGGCAAGCATACCCAGGCATAGCTAAATGTCGGCCGTACCGCGACTTTAGTAGTATTCTGTGTAATTACCGTGACCATCAGCTCCATAAGCATTCTACTTTAGAAGGCCTCCAGATATCTCGAAGTTCATTCGAAGAGCGACGAAGCAATGAGAAGCTGCGGAGTGGGTCTGACGGACAAGAAGGGCAAAGCGCCATGCACGCGCTTCCGTTGACCAATCAGAACTATGCGCTAACTCTACAGGGTCACTGCGAAGCCCGCTGCTGTCTGCGAAGCGTTCTCAGCGTTCTCAGCGTTCGAGCTCCAGTTCGCGATTCACACGACACACCACGCGGGACGCGTCCACCACCCACCCACGGTCTCTCCTTACCCGTTCACGAATATAATGATCCGCCAAGACGCCAGCGTCTTTTAATTCGATATCAACATAAATTATCCCCGACACTTGCCCGCAGTCAAGTACAGCAATCCAGGCGCAAACCACACCCAGCCCGCCGACCAATGCAGCCCTCATAGACGAGCTTTCCTTCACGAAGTAGCTGGACGAGAACAGGCGACGCCGCCTTGCTGGAGGGCTCTTCGGAGCGGGACGAGCAGCTGCACGCTGCACACACCTTCGCCATGGCGACGCACAACTTTGAGGCAATGGCCTCGAAGCTCGACGACCCAAGCTCCGGTACGGCAATTTCTGACAAGGCGCGTGTTGGGGGAATCAGAAGGTGTAGCTGCGGCAGAAGAGTGGAGAGGCTGACATGGCGCAGACATCCGGGCGAAGGACAAGCTCGTGGTCGACATCCGGGACAACATTGAGAACTACTGCCAGGGCGCGCAGTATGCGCAGTTTATGAATGCTCTGGTCCCAGCGTTCTTGAAGATCCTCGACGGCAACCCGGTCTTCATATCCACATCCCCGGAACAGGTGAGTGCGCACCTCGTGGTGACGATGATGACACTCTAATCATTGGACAGCGGATACGGAACTGCGTGCTCGAGATCCTCCACCGACTCCCCATGAACCCCGGCGATGCGGTCGAGCCCCACGCAGCGAAGATCGTAGACAAGCTCATGAGCCTTGTGAAGCTCGAGAACGAGGACAATGCGGTGCTGTGCATGAAGACCATTATGGATTTCCAGCGACACCAGACAAAAGCGCTGCATGACCGCGTGCAGCCTTTCCTGGATCTCATCCAAGAAATGTTCCAGACGATGGAGCAGGCAGTACACGACACGTTCGACAACGCAACGCCTGCGCCAGCCTCGCAAGGCGTGCCCTCTACACCGAGCAACCATCAGTACTCGCAGTCGCCGCGATCGAACTCGCCCGCGACCGTCCTCACATCTGGCTCTGCCGGCGATCTTGGGCAGGAGGCGCAGCAGACGCGCATGCTGCTGAAGGGCATGCAGTCTTTCAAGGTGCTGGCCGAGTGCCCGATCATAGTGGTGTCGCTCTTCCAAGCATATAGGAACTGCGTGAATAAGAACGTCAAGCTGTTTGTCCCGCTGATCAAGGATGTGCTTTTGCTGCAAGCCAAGCCGCAAGAGAAGGCGCACGAGGAGGCAAAGGCTCAGGGCAAGATCTTCACAGGCGTTAGCAAGGACATTCGCAATCGCGCAGCATTCGGCGACTTTATCACAGCACAAGTGAAGACCATGAGCTTCTTGGCCTACTTACTAAGGGTGTATGCAAACCAGCTCAACGACTTCCTGCCAACTCTGCCGGACATCGTCGTGCGACTGCTGAAAGATTGTCCGCGGGAGAAGTCTGGCGCGCGCAAGGAGCTGCTAGTGGCGATTAGGCACATTATCAACTTCAACTTTCGCAAGATCTTCCTCAAGAAGATCGACGAGCTACTGGATGAGCGGACTTTGATTGGCGATGGCCTTACCGTGTACGAAACGATGCGACCGCTCGCGTACAGCATGCTCGCAGATCTCATACACCACCTGCGAGACTCACTATCGAAGGAACAGATCAGGCGCACAGTCGAAGTATACACCAAAAACCTGCACGACAGCTTCCCAGGCACAAGCTTCCAGACCATGAGCGCCAAGTTGCTCTTGAATATGGCTGAGTGCATCGCAAAGCTGGAACCGAAAGAGGATGCCCGATACTTTCTGATCATGATCCTCAACGCTATTGGAGACAAGTTCGCGGCGATGAACCGCCAGTACCACAACGCAGTCAAGCTGTCAGCGCAGTACAGCCAGCCTTCGATCGATGCCTCCGATGAGAACCACATGGCCGTGCAGGAACAGCCACCGGACTGGGACGAGATCGACATCTTCAACGCTACGCCTATCAAGACATCGAATCCTCGAGACCGCAGCTCGGACCCGATTGCCGACAATAAGTTCTTGTTCAAGAACCTGCTGCACGGCCTGAAGAACCTTTTCTACCAGCTACGCGCCTGCAATCCGGCAAAGATCAAGGAGGAAATCGATGCTGCCAATGCATCGGCCAACTGGCATGAGGTGTCCTTCGGATACAACGCTGAAGAGGTCGAAGTCCTGATCAAGCTTTTCCGCGAAGGTGCCAAGGTCTTCCGCTACTATGGTACTGACAAGTCCGCAGAGACCCAAGGGTTATCGCCTGGCGACCTTATGGGCAATCAACACATGATGTCCAGCGGCAAGGAGGAGAAGGAACTGCTTGAAACATTTGCGACCGTCTTCCATCACATCGATCCTGCGACTTTCCACGAAGTGTTTTCATCCGAGATACCCCATTTGTACGATATGATGTTCGACCACCCGGCGTTACTCCACGTTCCACAGTTTTTGCTCGCTTCCGAAGCAACGTCGCCCAGCTTCTCCGGCATGCTACTTCAATTCCTCATGGACCGGATAGAGGAAGTCGGCACGGCAGATGTCAAGAAGTCATCCATCTTGCTGCGACTGTTCAAGCTCTCTTTCATGGCAGTCACGCTCTTCTCGCAACAGAACGAGCAAGTCCTGTTACCGCACGTCAGCAAGATCATCACGAAGTCTATTCAGCTGTCGACCACTGCCGAAGAGCCCATGAACTACTTTTTGCTGCTCAGATCGTTGTTCCGAAGTATAGGTGGTGGTAGATTCGAGCACCTGTACAAGGAGATTCTCCCCTTGCTGGAAATGCTGCTAGACGTTCTGAACAATCTTCTGATCACAGCTCGCAAGCCTGCTGAGCGTGACTTGTTTGTTGAGTTGTCGCTTACAGTACCGGCGCGACTGAGTAACCTTCTGCCGCACTTGAGCTACCTGATGAGACCACTCGTCGTAGCTCTTCGCGCAGGATCAGACCTGGTCGGACAGGGCCTCCGTACACTGGAGCTCTGCGTTGACAACCTCACCGCGGACTATTTGGATCCCATCATGGCACCAGTCATCGACGAACTCATGGCTGCGTTGTGGGAGCATCTGAAGCCCAATCCCTACAGCCATTTCCACGCACACACTACAATGCGCATTCTGGGTAAGCTCGGAGGGCGGAATCGGAAATTCATCACTGGCCCCCCAGAGCTCAATTACCAGCCGTACTCTGACGATCAGTCATCCATTGACATCCGACTCATTGGGTCCACCAAGGATCGCGCCTTCCCGGCCGTCATCGGCATTGAAGCCGCTATTGCCAAGCTTCACGAAGTCCCCAAGACACCGGCAACGAAGAAGTCGGATAATTTCCACAAGCAGCAGGCGTTCAGGCTCATCACCGCTCATGCCAAGCTAATGATCGGGTTCGACAGCTTACCGGACGACTTTGCGCAACTTGTTAGGCTCCAGGCGAATGATCTTTGCAGCAATAAGCTCGACGTCGGAGCTGATGTGCTGGCCGCTCCAGATCGGGGAAAATCGATATCGAAGAAGACCGTCGAACAAGAAACACTGAAGAAGCTACTGAAAGCCTGCATCTTCGCTGTGTCGGTTCCAGAGCTCAAGGCTGACGCCGAGCCACTGGTCACGCATCTTGCAAAGCACTTCACACTGTTGGAATTCGGAAGTCATCTGGCCGTCGCGAAACATAAGAGCAAACCGTTCGAAGTTCATCTGGGCGAGGGACCGGTCGTCGTAGCGAGCGAGGTGATAGCAGACGCCATTGGCGACTCGCTCGCATCCGAACATCCAGATGTGCGCACCGCAGCCGAGCAGGCGATATTGACGATGCGAGATGCTGCCATGGCGATCTTCGGTAGCAATGATAAGCTCGACAAGTTTCCTTTCTTCAACGACCTGTCTAGTACGTTCTGCCACAATTGCCATGCAGACGACTGGTTCATGAAGTCTGGTGGCACTCGGGGTATCGAGATCATCATCAAGAAGTCTGGTCTCGATTCAACTTGGATGACGGCACGCCACTTCGAGCTCGTTCGAGCTTTGAATTTCGTCATGAAAGACATGCCGATCGATCTTGACTCAAAGACACGCATCCAAGCTGAGGGACTCATCGAAGACCTCATCCGCCAATGCCACAAGACTACGACAAAGGAGGAGTTCGAGGGGGGCGGTAACATCACCATGAGACTCTGCGGGCAGCTTGTTGGTGACCTGTCGCACATGAACAGGAACGTCCGCGAGGCAACGCAGAAAGCGTTCCAGGTCCTTTCTGAAGTTACGGGCCTTGGTGTGCATGAGCTCATCGCGCCGGTCAAGAATCGATTGATCGTACCCATTTGGACCAAGCCCCTGCGCGCATTACCGTTCAGCATCCAGATCGCTTACATCGACGCCATCACTTTCTGCCTGAAGCTCAAGAACGGCATCCTGGAGTTCAACGATGAGCTGACGAGGTTGCTGATGGAATCTCTTGCTCTTGCTGATGCGGAAGACGAGGGTCTTGCCAGCAAACCTTTCGAGCAGCGCAATGCAGAGCACATTGTGAACCTACGTGTGGCTTGCATTCGCCTTCTATCAACCGCTCAGAGTTTCCCTGAGTTCAGCACAACCCCGCCGAACCAAACGTTCCTGCGTATCATCGCTGTCTTCTTCAAGTGCCTCTACTCGAAGTCGCCAGAAGTCATCGAAGCTGCAAACGTTGGACTGTCAGGGGTCATTTCGGCGACGAATAAGCTTCCCAAGGACGTGTTGCAGTCAGGACTTAGGCCCATATTGGTGAACCTGCAGGATCCTAGGAAGCTCTCGGTGGAGAACTTGGACGGTCTCGCTCGCCTCCTGAAGCTGCTCACGAATTACTTCAAGGTTGAGATCGGAACCCGTCTTCTGGACCATCTTAAGAGCATTGCGGACCAGAACAGCCTGCAAAAGATCTCCTTCACGATGATCGAGCAGAACCCCAAGATGAAGATTGTCACTGGCATCTTCAATATCTTCCATCTGCTTCCTCCGGCAGCTGCCACCTTCCTCAAGCAAATTATCGAGAAGGTCATCGAACTCGAGAGCAGCCTAAGAAGGACACACTACAGTCCCTTCAGGGAGCCTCTCATCAAATACCTCTGCATGTACCCGAGCGACACCTGGACACATTTTGCGCCAAATCTTAAGGATCAGACACAGGGACGCTTTTTTGCACAGCTGCTCGAGAATCCCGAAAGTGGCGCATTGCGAATGCAAGTCTCGGAAGATGTGCCTGGCTTTCTGCAATCATTCCAGTTTGAGGGAGAGGATAAGGACATTTGCCAGGCTCAGCTCAACGCCATCCATATTGCGTACGCCCTTAGCCAGTTCGAAGAGACCAGCAAATGGCTCGCGACACACGACGATCTACGCAAGGGTTTGTTCGAGGCGGGCAGGTCCCTCGAGAAGAAGCTCCGTCAGAACCTCATCGACCCCGAGCTCCGGCTGGCGACAGAGCAGGCTGGTGACCAGATTATGTTCATCTTCACGACATACCTCAAGCACGAGCCCGACAACCTGGACTTTTTCTTCGAGTTGATTGATACGATGACGTCCGAGGAATTGCAGGCCTCGCCGCGTCTATTCGATTACATCTACAAGCAGATCATCTCCAGCGAATCTGTTGAATACTGGAAAACCCTCATTAACAGGTGTATTGACCTCTACACATCCCGCAGCTCCTCGCAAAAGACGAAAACTTTCATCTTCCACAATATCGTCAACCCTATCTTTGCTATGGATGTCAAGCGCAATTGGAACAGCCTGTTCGACCAGAAGACTGAAGGGACGAAGTTGATGGACAAAAGTATGACCGAGACTATTCACAAGAGGCTGTGGCTGCCGCAATCCCTTACAGATACATCAGAAGAGACAGCCCAGCTTGGTGTTGATCACTCGAGAATGGAGCTGCTCCAGCTGACAACTCTGTTGCTCAAGTACTACTCTGGCATGATCGAGGAGTTCCGAAAGGACGTCATCAAGTTTGGCTGGAACTACATCAAGCTCGAAGACATCATCAACAAATACGCCGCATATGTCCTCGTGGCCTTCTTCATCGCTGTGTACGAGACGCCGAAGAAGATCGCTGCACACACCTACCAATCGTTGCTCAAGGCGCATCAGAATGAGGGTCGCAGTCTGGTTATGCAGGCGCTCGAGCTCATGGCACCCGTGCTGCGCAAGCGCATGGGCGGTGTCGAGAGGATGCCGCTCTGGATTCAGCATCCTCGCAAGATATTAGCTGAGGAAAGCTCGAATCTGCAGCAACTGATGAGCATCTTCAACTTCGTGGTTCGCCACCCAGATCTCTTCTATGAGGGCCGCGAACACCTTTCGCCCATCATCATCACCGCGCTCTCGAAGATCGCACAGCCTCCCAATCCTTCGACTGATGCGAAGAAGCTTGCTCTCAACCTGATTAGTCTGATCAGGACTTGGGAAGAGCGCACGGCGACTGAGACCGCTGCGGGCGTCGAGCGACCATCATCGTCCCCTTCGGCTTCCAAGAGGAAAGCAGATGGAACTGTTGTTCCTTCTGGCCCACAATCAAAGGAGTTCGTTGCTCAGGCATCGATTCGTATGGGACTCATCAAGTACCTCATCCAGTTCATCGCCTATCTGCCCGAGCGCTTCCCTGTCAACTCACCCAAGTTGAAGGACCTCGCTGTCGCACCAACAAACACGCCCCTGCCTGCTGAGATCTGTCGCAAGGCCGTTCAATTGCTGCATGATCTACTCTCGCCTCGTCTGTGGAACGACCTTGATCTCGATTTTATGCTTTCGAAGAAGATTGAGGAGATTCTTCTCGCTGACATGAAGCAAGATGATAAGGCGGAGGTCTTCAACACTAGGATGATCAACACACTTCAGATTGTCAAGGTCATCGTCAACGTCAAATCAGACGACTGGGTGCTGCAACGCATCCCGGTTTTCCAGAAGATCTTGGACAAGCCTATTCGTTCCGAGAACGCAGACGTTCAGGCCGGCCTTCATGCGGTGGATGAGAACGAAGATGGGACCATAAAGCTACAGCCGACATTGAAGCGCATCCTAGAAGTCATGCCGGAGCCCGTCACCGACGAAGAAGGCAATACCGAAGAATCGACATCGACAGAGTTCGTCAATTTCCTGGGTACGGTTGCGACAGAAGCGCTTTCAAACGGGTCCTACATCTGCGCAATCAACATTTTATGGACTCTTTGCCAGAGACGACCGGAGGAGATCGATCAACACATCCCGCAGGTCATGAAGGCCTTCCAGGGCAAGATGGCCAAGGATCACCTCGCCGGCCACAGTGGTGCTCCGGGACAAGCTGTGCCACCAAACATGCGCCCCGAGGCAGCCAATCCGCCCACAGACCCTCGCGAGATCGAGATTCAGACAGATCTTGTTCTGAAGACTGTCGATATTCTTGCAGCTCGAATGAATGAGCTCGGTGAGAACCGGAGGCCATATCTCAGCGTCCTTGCTTCACTGGTCGAGCGTTCTCAAGTTAACTCGGTGTGTATGAAGGTCCTCGATCTGGTTGAGGATTGGATCTTCCACTCTAACGAGCCGGTTCCGACACTTAAGGAGAAGACGGCGGTGCTCAGCAAGATGCTGCTCTTCGAACACCGTCAGGATACGTCGCTGCTCACTCGCTTCCTGGACCTGGTCATTCGCATCTACGAGGATCCCAAGATCACACGGAGCGAGCTCACTGTCAGGATGGAGCACGCCTTCCTTATCGGCACCAGGGCGCAAGACGTGGAGATGCGCAACCGGTATATGGCTATCTTCGACAAGAGCTTGAGTCGCACAGCAGCTAGTCGATTGAGCTATGTGCTGGCGTCACAGAACTGGGACACTTTGTCCGACTCATACTGGCTGAGCCAGGTCATTCACCTCATGTTTGGTTCAATCGAGATGAACAGCCCGGTGGAGCTGCACGAAGAGGACTTCAAGCTCATGCTGCCTTCCACCTTGTACAATACCTACAGCAAAGACACCAGGGTTGGAGACGTCATGATTGATGATGACCTCGAGAGTCTTGTAAGTAGCCATCGACGCTTTGTCACACAACTCGGGGATGTTAAGGTCAAGGATATCTTCGAACCTCTTGGACATCTGCAGCACACAGACAACAACCTCGCACACGATATCTGGGTTGCATTCTTCCCCTTAGCTTGGACGGCTTTGACAAAGGACGACCAGAGTGATCTTGAAAAGGGCATGGCTGCGCTACTCACCAAGGACTTCCACAACAGGCAGCTCGATAAGCGGCCCAACTGCGTTGCTACCATGCTCGATGCTATTGTACACGCAAAGCCAAGGGTCAAGTTTCCCCCTCACATCATGAAGTACTTGGCCCAGACGTACAATGCTTGGTACACCGCTGCGGTGTACATGGAGGAGTCGGCCATCTCTCCTGTCGTGGATGTCGAGAAACTGAGAGAGAGCAACCTTGATGCTCTTTTGGAAGTGTACAGCGGCCTGCAGGAAGACGACTTATTTTACGGTACTTGGCGCAGGAGATGTCAGTTCCTGGAGAGCAATGCCGCGCTCAGTTACGAACAGTGCGGTATATGGGACAAAGCCCAGCAGATGTACGAAGCAGCGCAGATCAAGGCCCGAACATCGGTGCTGCCATTCTCCACAGGAGAGTATATGCTCTGGGAGGACCACTGGGTAATTTGTGCCCAGAAGCTTCAACAGTGGGAGATTCTCAGTGACTTCGCCAAGCACGAGAATTTCAACGATTTGTATCTGGAGTCCACGTGGAGGAGCTTCGAAGCCTGGCAGAACGCCGAGACCCGCGAGCAGCTCGACACAACCATCAAAGCGGTCAGCGACGCGCCAACACCCCGACGCGTCTTCTTCCAGACTTTCATGTCGCTGCTCAAATTGCACGCCAAGCAGGAATCTCCGCCAGAGTTCCACAGGCTCTGCGATGAGTCAATCCAGCTCTCCATCCGCAAGTGGCACCAGCTTCCTTCTCGCATTACGCAGGCACATATTCCGCTCTTGCAACACTTCCAGCAATTGGTGGAGCTGCACGATGCCAGTGTCATATGCCAGAGCCTGGCTCAGACAACACAGGCCAATCTCGACATGAAGTCTCAAGAGCTCAAGCTGCTTCTTAGTACCTGGCGCGATCGCCTGCCAAACTTCTGGGACGACATCAACGCATGGCAGGACCTTGTCACTTGGCGACAGCACATCTTCCAGTTGATTAACGGCGTCTATCTCAATCTCCTGCCTCCAAACCAGAACAATGCTAGCGGCAACAGCTTTGCGTACCGAGGCTACCACGAGACGGCATGGATTATTAATCGCTTTGCACACGTCGCACGGAAGCACAGCCTGCCAGAAGTCTGCATCAACCAGCTAGGTAGAATCTACACCCTCCCCAACATTGAGATTCAAGAGGCTTTCCTCAAGCTGCGCGAACAGGCCAAGTGCCATTACCAGATCCGCGCGGATCTGAACAGCGGGCTCGATGTGATCAATAATACCAATCTTAATTATTTTGGTCCCCAGCAGAAGGCAGAGTTCTACACGCTCAAGGGTATGTTCCTTGCCAAGCTCGGTCAGAAGGGCGAGGCAGGCGAGGCGTTCGGTACTGCGCTGTACTTCGACATCAAGCTACCCAAGGCATGGGCCGAGTGGGGACGTTACAATGACATGCTTTTCAAGGAGGAGCCGCAGAATCTGGAACGTGCCGAAGCAGCGCTCAGTTGCTATCTGGAGGCTGCCAGCCAGTTCAAGAATGCGAAGAGCAGGAAGTTGTTGGGCCGTGTGCTCTGGCTGCTCAGTTTGGACAATCCGGAACGCAGATTGGCCGAGAAGTTCGAGGAGTTCAAGGGCGACACACCGGCGTGGTACTGGATCACTTACATCCCGCAATTGCTCAATAGTCTCTCGCGGCAAGAGGCGCCCATTGCCAGGTCCATACTTGGCAAGTTGGCGAAGACGTACCCGCAGGCGTTGTACTGCCATCTCAGGACGACGCGCGAGGATATGGTCGTGCTCAAGAAACAGCACGAGCAGAAGGAGGCCAAGGAGAAGGCTGCACGCGCTGCAAAGGCTACACAGCAAGGAAACCAGTCATCCCCGGCACCCAAGCAAGGCTCGCCTGATGCACGACCCGGCTCAAGCGGCAACCAGAATGCTGCTACCAACGGCGACGCTAAGCCTGCGGTTCAGACAAGCACACCGGGCGGCACCATCAAGACCGAGGGCAACGCACAAGGTAGCCCTGCCGTCAATGGCGCATCGACTGTTGAGGTTACGCCACCTGCACCGAAGAAGCCTTGGGATCACGTCGAGGAGATCAGTGCGATCCTCAAGACGGCATTCCCGCTGCTGGCTCTGTCTATGGAGACAATGCTCGATCAGATCCACAAGAATTTCAAGTGCCCTCCTGATGAGGACGCTTACCGACTGATCGTTGCGTTGTTGAACGACGGTCTCAGCTACGTCGGACGTCAACCTACGCTCTATGCTCGCGACACGAAGCTCCCATCTTCTACCGAGGGCAACATCACCCGTTTCGCCGAGTCCGTACTCCCAGCGCACATCAGGAAATCGTTTGAGTCAGACTTCATTAAGGATAAGCCTACTATGTACGAGTATATCCAGAAGCTGCGCATATGGAGGAACCGGTTTGAGGAGCGCCTCGATCGCAGGAGGATCGTCGTTCCCCTCGAACAATACACGCACCAGCTTAGTGAGTTCCGGTTTCTCAAGTTCGATGATGTCGAGGTTCCAGGACAGTACTTGCTGCACCGAGACAAGAACTCTGACTTCGTGCGCATCGAGCGCTTCCTCTCTGATGTTGAGCTTGTTCGCGGCGTTGGCGTTTGCCATCGTAGGATCAAGATCCGTGGTCACGATGGTAGCACTCATGCTTTCGCTATCCAGTTCCCGACTGCGAGGAGCTCAAGGAGGGAAGAGCGCATCATCCAGCTGTTCCGCATCTTCAATGGTATCCTGTCGAAGCGAAAGGAGAGTCGCAGGAGGAATCTGCAGTTCCATTTACCCCTCATGGTGCCGATCACGCCTAGTGTGCGACTTATTCAGGACGATCCGAGTGTGATGAATCTGCAGGGCATCTACGAGGATTACTGCAGGAAGAACGGAGTCAACAAGGACGAGCCCATCCTGTTCAGCATTGATAAGCTCCGGGCGCTACAACCTGTAAGTCGCACCACTATTCCAAACTCGTTACTCTCACTAACATCTGCTTAGAAGAACCTTGACCACGCCAATAGCATCCGCCTCGAAACTTTCTCCGCAGTCCAAGAGAAATACGTGCCCAATACTGTCGTCCAGGACTACTTCCGCGCAACCTTCCCCTCCTTCGACGACTTCTGGCTCTTCCGTCGCACCTTCAGCTACCACCTCGCAGCCCTGACTTTCATGACGTACGTCATGCACATGAACACGCGTTTCCCGCACAAGCTGCTCATCTCACGCTCTACGGGCCGCGTCTGGGGTTCAGAACTGATTCCCAGCATGGCAGTCGGCAAACCTATCCTACACAACAGCGAGCCCGTGCCCTTCCGCCTCACGCCCAATCTGCAAGTCATGCTGGGGCCCCTCAATCTCGAAGGCATCTTCGCGCCGGCGGTCATGACCGTCGCCCGCTGTCTCATCGAGCCCGAAGGCGAGCTGGAAATGCAGCTCAGTATTTTCATGCGCGACGAGATGAATCACTGGTTCACGAGTCAACATAAGATATCTGCGCTCACGCCGGATGTGCTGCGCGATAGTGTGCAGCAGAACTCCGACCTCGTGGTCAAGAGAGCGAGTAGCATCGGCAGCCAGCCGAGCGGCGCGAACCTGCCCGCGAATCAGACCATGGTCGATCTTGTGAGCGTTGCGGTGCATCCGCAGAAGTTGGCCATGACGGATCCGCTGTGGATGGCCTATCTGTAGGCGATTTTTCTGAGCAGGGGAGTTTGGGGTGTCTGGCGTACTCAAAAAGGAGCGCGGTTGGTACTCGGGTTGGATAATTTTGCGTTGGGCTTTGGCCTGGCTTCGTTGGGGATTCGATAAGCATTGGCGTCTTTTGGGCGTCGTTGGACGTGTCGTTGCTCCGGATGGGCAGTGGACGTGGAGTTTTTGTATCGTTGCGGTGCAGTAGTTAGTCCACACAAAGCAAACATAAACATCAATAGTTTCCTCCATTGCAAACGAGAGTGTGAAGGGAACTTTCTAATGGGCTGCTGCGCCGCGATGTCAGACTATTGCAGCGCTAAATGTACGGGTGGCTTAGCTCGTAGTCTTCTTGGAGCTTCGTTCTCAGAGGGAGCGACTAATCTGATCTGATTCGTTTTCTCAATCTTCACAGCCGCGATGGAGACCGCCATGGATACCCCGATGCGAGCAATGCGCTGGTGCGCAGCATCTGAGCCAAGCAGCTAATTATAGAACGCACGCGCGCAGTCTCAGACAGCGACCTTGATACTTTTATAGCTGGCAAACTGCACATGTAATCTCAGACAAACCAAATATGTTCGTGGGGAGACGTGCGTTTTAGCCTCGTCGAGTAGTCGTGCGGAACCCCCGGTCCTTCCGCTCGTACACCTGATCCGCCCCTCTCCGTTCAGCTCCTCTCCACCCTCGAATTCGAGCAGACCGCTGTCCGTGCCTCCGTGAACTGCTTCTCAACACGGTCTGAACTAAAGGGACGACCCGGAGATTTCGGATCTACGGAGACGAAGCGGGAATGCTAGTGTCGAAGTAAAGGGCCGGTACGGTGCGGCAGCTGGTGGGGGCAGCTAGTGGAGCTAATCTCGACCACATCTGAGCGCAGAGCTGTGTTTTATGGCGTCAAAGGTGAATGATAGTGGGATGGCGGAGGGGTGGTGGGAAGTGTTTTTGTGACTGAGAGATTTATGGGTCTATCGACGAGCGAGAGAGGGGTTTATCGATGGGAATGAATTGGTAAACGATATGAAGAACGCGGGCCATCAAAGAGTAGGTAACTGCATAAACGAATAGAAAAGCCAATCGCCATCCCTTGTGCAAAACTGCCTAATCCATCATGTCACTGCCAATATATCGCCATCTCAGTACTATATTGTCGGCAGCTGAACATCAGCGTCCGCTTGATGAGCTCGAGCTCGTGTTGTTTGAGCTGGAGGTGTTCGATGAACTACTTGACGTATTGGAGGTGCTCGTTGACGGCTCTGATGTCTGTGGTGGGGACGAGGAGGTTTGACTTTGGTAAGAGGAAGGCGCACCCGAGACTTGGAAGGGCGCGAAGCGGATTGGTGTGAAAGACATGTTAAAGAAGTCCGGAAGTAAGTTGAGGAACAATCGACGTTATGGAGTTATGTTGAAGATGCCGGCTGTGGAATGAGACTTGAATACTCGAGTTTCATACCGCCCGTCAAGACCTTGATATATGCGCCTAGTGCAGACCTGGTTCTCGCATACCTTCGCTTCAAATCCGAGTCGAGATGCGCATTGAGACATAACGTGAAGCCACGTACACGAGGGCGTTCGCGGTGACGCCATTGAAAGACGTGTAAGAGTGTCTGCCTTATGCGCGATCGTCAGGCGCGCCTAAGTATAGGTGCACTTGCGCGCTCGCACATGACTTCGCGTCGCGTTCCTCGTACAGTGCTATCTTTGGGCGAACTGCGGTTCGTGGTTCGGCAAAATATATCAGTGACTTCGTAACTTTCCGGATCCGTGTCAGCATTTGCGAGTGAGACTCGGGAGCTTTCGTCAGGTTCAAAACATCGTGAAGCCTTATTCTGCATAATCGTTGGCTACTACTACTTCATGCAAAAATCGGAGACTGATCAACTGGTGTTCGGTGTCGCTCAAAGCTGCCGTGGCGGCGGCAGCGCGGTGCAAATGTACGCGACATGACAAGGCATACTTGTAAGCTTCATGATGTATAGTGATGTTTGAGATGATGTACTGCAGTCTGGTCAACGTTCACCGGCGGTCTGGCGCATGGCCGTGTCGCACCCCTGCTCGGTTGATCCACGGCAGTCAGCTCGCCAACATCCCTCTCGATGTCCGCCCGCGGATTGCGAGGTACTACAAGCTAATGCAGCCACTATTGGGCACCCCGGTGGACTAGGTGGGACATTTTGCAAGGGCGTATTTTCTTTTTTGGTTGCTCATTGTGCCGAACAGTGTGCATGTATTTACCGTGGCCGTGCGCCCGATGAGCCAGTTCAGCCAATGAGCCACCCCAACGAGATATTGACAATAGATAAATAAAGCTGTAGAGCCACACCTAAAAGATGTTATTGTAGGAAATATTAGTGTATTGCTATATAGAGCCTTGCGCTTCAATTGTGCTATTTATATTTGGCTAGTAACCGCAAGTTGCAGCCTCTCGCAGTGATTTTGGGTGGGGGAGACGCAGCTAGTAGTGCAGCGTTAACACAACTTTAAGCAGCCACAACATAACAATGCTTTGTTAGATTTTTTGCAGCACTATATAAGACTTTTCGCTTACGCTTGTTAAGTATATTGTAAGATTTTTAAGCGTTTAGAGCGTTGTGTTGCTACTTTTTAAGCGCTTGTTTAGTAGCCAGCACTTCAGCTTGTGCTTTCTTCGCCTTGTGACGCTCCTCAGCAGCACGCTGTTAAGCTAACTTTGCCTCCTCTTGCTGCTGCTGTTTATAAGCTGTTGCTGCCGCCTTTGCCTTTCTATCGCGAGATTTTTAGAGTTATAGCTGTGCAGCTTTATCAAGTTCTGTAGCTTTGCGCGCGCAGTCGCAGGCAAGCTTCCTAGGACTGTAGAAGACAGCGCCGCTGTGCTAGTTATCACTGTCTTGTGTAGTTAGTGTTGTCTGCTGTGTTAGGCGCTTCTTAATAATATTAAGCTTGTGTTGTAGCTCCTTATTTTAAGTGCAAAGAAGCTTGTTATTAACCTGTAGCAAGTAGTGTAACAGAGTAGGCGCCCTGCCCTCGAAATCAATACTACATGACTTCTCTGCCTACACCAAAAGGTAAGCACAAGAATACTTAAGCAAGTATTCGTTGCGTAGTATAATATATATAGACAATAATAGTGCTAGCCAGCTAGCTTTGCCTCTAGCTGCTATAAGCGCTATGCCACGTGTCGTGTTCGTGCATAGTCGTTACAATGCTAAGGCAGCGTGAATCCCGAACCACAGAGTCCGAAATGTAAACCTGGAAAGCTTACTATAATAGTAAATCTTACACAAGCTGCTAATAAGGCAGCTACACAACAAAAAGCGCAGAAAAGAAAGCAAGTTAAGGCAGAGGGATCCCTACTAGTTGAGGAGGGCTGGCGATTGACAGCTCTAAAGGAGTTTGGGGCACGTGGTGATGGTAAGAGGGCAAAGAAGCAGGTGCGTGCTGAAGTGGGTAAGCTATCCTAAAGGCGCAGTGGACAGTGTAATTGGACTGGGCATAACGCACAAACGTGCAAGAACAAAGTAGAAGAGGTCTCTAAGTAATATTACAGGTTGTTTTGCCCTGTGCAGGGCGAAGTGGGTTGTTTCAGGCCAAAGTAGGGTTGATTTTGGTAGAGGCTTGGCAAAAGTGATCCACTCGCTTGGTGATCCATTCGCCCGTGAGGTACGTTAATCTTAGACTGCAGAAGATTGAAATAGTGTGAGTACTTCTCGCTATTGTCATCATTGTGATGCCAGGCATCTATAGCAGAGGTCTATTTGTATGTGAGCGTCTTGCGGCAATAGTGCAGGAACTAAGTAACCTAGGCATTTCTAATATAGCAATAAGCTATGTTAGAGGCAAAATTTTACCTTGTAGGTCGTAGCCCTTAATTAGAAAGGCCTTCTATGTATTTGCAGAGCTCGTATTCTTGTTGTGGGCTGATCTTTCGCTGTGAGGAGTATCCTTTTTCACGCGACGCGCACACGCGTCGGTGCCGCCGCGACAGGGTGGATCACGACACTGTGCTTTGATCAGCAATTTCTGAGTAAGAAGTTCACCAGCTGCATCTGCTGCGTCACAGGCTTCAAGCGCAGCCTCTAGATCCATGCCGTTGTTGAGTTATAGTGTTGAGGAAATCCGTATGTTATGGTGTTGGTGTGCACGGACACTGTAGCCCAGTGTGCGAGTTTCGTTCAAGATTCATCAGTACGCAACGGTGCCAAGGCTCCCACGGATTTCAGCATTTACTGTTGAGTTCGGGAAGTGGGCGAGTGATCTGAGAGAACGAGTCAGGAACAAGCAATGTCATCAGGGTGCGCCCTTCCTTCGCGATGGATTGAGAGATCATCATCACAAGACGCACTGGCATGAGTGCGAATGAGTCGAATCGACGGCGGCAAAAGTCCCACTTGGACCGACTCGAAGTGGAAGTGCCGGTGGGAGTACCGTATAATCTCAGCTGAGTGGGTGATGTGCCGAGCAAACTTTCAATAAGTTTCAGGCCTCATGAAACGAGCGTACCTGATTGCACGCTCGGGCGTTGAAAGCGAAAGATAAAGTTGGAGCTCTTGTAGTCTCGAGTTGGTCCAGCTTGCTTATGATGCTCCCACTTGGCACTTTCCAGAATCGCCACAAAGAAGACACCTGAATCGGGCCTCCTTGAGTTCCTGGTGCTGTGGAGTCAAGACTGACTCGAGAAGGTCGTATTCCGACAAAGTTATGTGGGGCTGTAGTGGATACTCGACATCCAACATCACCCTGCGGGAGAGCTATCGTTCCTTCCAGAAAATGAGCATTTTTGTTCTGTGGCTGTTGAACATACGCCGTGAGACGATAGCTGTGTTCCGTTCGCGCCAGCTGTTTGTGACATTAGAATGCTTATCTCACGTTCGAAAGAAGCTTGACGATCTCGACGTCACTGCCCAGAGGTTTACCGCCAAATGCACCTCCCCGGCAAACAGCCGCTAGAGCACGGGTGCTAGGCACAGCAGCATCCGGCGCGTTTCTGTGCTCACGACGGGTAGATTACCACCCTTCCTTCTTTTCTGCTGGACAAGCGTCCGTCCGAAGCAGTCCGCTGAGGAATTGATATGCCCCACACCACGCCGCGGGTTCTGAAAGACAGTAGTTAAAGTGCAACTTTGCTTGCTGTTTGCCGAGCCGCTAAGGACGACATCTTAAGATCTCGTCTTAGCCTCCTTCAGGCGTCGCAGGCCCACATAAATCCTGTGAAGCAAGCTTGTGCGGAGATAAGACCCATCGCGGCATCCCTCCCCATTTTTTATTGTTTAAACAACCCGAGTCCCCAAGCTGTTGCCATCTTCTCCCACTGTCGTCTTTTTTCCCTTACACGTTCCTTAATACTAGTACCCTCGACGACGCGCCGCAGTACGGAAGCCCATTCCCCTGCAACCATCTTTCCGTAATAGCGGCAAGGTGCACCCTGCGTCAGCACCATGGAGAACTCCAATGTACCACTGAACCACTCCACTGCCCGGGAAGAGACCGAGGGCAAGACGTACAAGGCCATTGACCCAGATCGCCACCACATCCAGGACGACAATGAAAGTTCAGTCTACGACGACACCGCTCGCAATTCCGAGTGCGTAAACGAGAAGGGCGGCGAAGAGGTCAAGGGCGGGATCGCCGTGCAGCGTGCCGAGGCCGATTTCGCCCAATTGTCCAAGGAGCTTTCGCGAACGAGCGAGATCTCACGCCGCATGAGCCGTATTCAGAGTCACCGCAGTCATAAGCACCAGACTACCACGGACATCGAAAAGGGTGTCGATGGTTCAAGCGTCTCCTCTGAAGAACCATTTGATCTCGAGAAGACACTGCGCGGCAACCGCGATGAGGAAGAAGCTGCAGGAATCAAATCCAAGCGCATTGGCGTTGTGTGGGATGGTCTGAGTGTCAGCGGTATTGGTGGTGTGAAGAACTATGTCAAGGTGAGCAGTCAGCACTTTACTTCGCGTGCCGAGCCAAGACAGCTGACAGCCGCGTAGACTTTCCCTGATGCACTTGTTTCCTTCTTCAATGTTTTCGAGATTACACAGAGCCTCTTGGGCATTGGCAAGAAGGGCAAGGAGTTCGACATCCTGAAGGATTTCAAGGGCGTATTGAAGCCAGGCGAGATGTGTTTGGTCCTTGGGCGGCCGGGAAGCGGATGCACTACCTTCCTCAAGGTTATCAGCAACCAGCGCTTCGGTTACACCAACGTCGATGGCAAGGTCCTCTACGGTCCTTTTGAGTCCGATTTCTTCGAGAAACGGTTCCGTGGTGAAGCTGTCTACTGCGAGGAAGATGAGAATCACCACCCCACCCTAACAGTTGGCCAGACACTGGATTTCGCTCTCGAGACGAAGGTACCTGGAAAGCGCCCCGCTGGTTTGTCGCGACAAGCCTTCAAGGATAAAGTCATCGACATGATGCTTAAGATGTTCAACATCGAGCACACCAGGAACACCATTGTTGGTAACCCATTCGTCCGCGGTGTATCTGGCGGAGAGCGCAAGCGCGTCTCGATTGCGGAAACTATGGTCACTGGTGCCTCGCTCATGTCATGGGACAATTCTACCCGTGGTCTTGATGCCTCCACGGCTGTCGACTACGCACGCTCCTTACGCACACTCACCAACATCTACAAGACTACGACATTCGTTTCGCTTTACCAGGCCTCTGAGAATATCTACAAGTGCTTCGACAAGGTCTTGGTTATCGACAGTGGGAGGCAGGTTTACTTTGGACCCGCAGACGAGGCTCGAGCCTACTTTGAAGGACTTGGCTTCCTCGAGAAGCCTCGCCAAACCACTCCTGATTACCTAACAGTAAGTTGACTGCGCGCGCGTGAGAAACAGGAACTAACCTGCACAGGGCTGTACGGATAAGAACGAGCGTGCATACAAGCCCGGCCGTGACGAGACTAACACTCCTTCGACTCCCGAGCAACTTGCTGAAGCTTTCAACAAATCTGAGACTGCCTCACGACTGGCAACTGAGATGACCCAGTACCACGCCGCCATGGATATCGAAAAGCACGTCTATGATGATTTCCAGATTGCGGTCAAGGAGGGCAAGCGTCATGCTGGGAAGAAATCTGTTTACTCCATCCCTTTTCACCTCCAGGTCTGGGCCCTGGCCAAGCGCCAGTTCTTGCTCAAGTGGCAGGACAAGTTTGCCCTCATCGTCTCTTGGTTCACATCTCTGGTCATTGCCATCATCATCGGTACTGTCTGGCTTGATATCCCGAAAACCTCCGCTGGTGCCTTCACCCGTGGTGGAGTTCTGTTCATCGCTCTTCTGTTCAACGCCTTCCAAGCCTTCTCCGAGCTTGCTAGTACTATGTTGGGTCGTCCGATCGTCAACAAACACCGTGCATTTACGTTTCATCGGCCTTCGGCGTTATGGATCGCGCAAATAGGTGTCGATCTTGTCTTTGCCGCTACTCAGATTCTGATATTCTCCATCATTGTCTACTTCATGACGAATCTTGCCAGGGACGCTGGAGCCTTCTTTACCTTCTTCCTGATGATTGTTACTGGATACCTTGCCATGACGCTTTTTTTCAGAACTGTTGGTTGCCTCTGTCCAGACTTCGACGTCGCTATCCGTCTCGCTGCAACAATCATTACCTTGTTTGTACTGACCTCTGGATATCTGATTCAGTGGCAGTCTGAACAGGTCTGGCTGCGATGGATCTTCTACGTCAATGCACTTGGTCTCGGATTCGCTGCGCTGATGCTCAACGAATTCTCCAGGGTCGACCTGACCTGCACAGATAATTCACTCGTCCCTTCCGGCCCAGGCTACAATGACATCAACTCACAAGTCTGCACGCTTCCTGGTTCAGTTGCTGGTTCGATCGTCGTTCGCGGTCGTGACTATGTCTTACAGTCGTTCTCCTGGCACGTTGGTGACCTATGGATGTACTGGGGGATTTGCGTTGCCTTGATCATCGGCTTCCTCCTCGCTAATGCCTTCCTTGGAGAGTTCGTAAAGTGGGGTGCTGGCGGTCGCACCGTCACATTCTTCGTCAAGGAGGACAAGGAATTGGAAGAGCTTAACCGGAAGCTTCGTGAGAAGAAGGAAAGGCGCGATCGTAACGAGGCAACTGCCGAGGACAGCTCTGAGCTGAATATCACATCTAAGGCAATCCTCACTTGGGAGGACCTTACATACGATGTCCCGGTCCCTTCTGGAGAACTCCGACTGCTTAAGAACATCTATGGATACGTGCGTCCTGGCCAGCTCACTGCACTCATGGGTGCTTCCGGTGCTGGAAAGACTACATTGCTTGACGTCTTAGCCAACAGGAAGAACATCGGTGTCATTGGCGGCGATAGGCTCGTTGACGGAATCGCTCCCGGTGCGTCATTCCAGCGGGGAACCGCCTATGCCGAACAACTCGACGTTCATGAGCCTGCCGCCACCGTGCGAGAGGCTCTTCGATTCTCCGCCGATCTTCGCCAGCCATACGAGACACCCCAGGCCGAGAAGTACGCCTACGTGGAGGAAGTTATCGCCCTTTTGGAAATGGAGGATATGGCTGACGCCATCATTGGTGACCCTGAATCTGGCCTTGCTGTCGAGCAGCGTAAGCGTGTGACAATTGGTGTCGAGCTTGCCGCCAAACCTGAATTGCTCCTCTTCTTGGACGAGCCTACCTCTGGTCTTGACTCCCAGAGCGCGTTCAACATTGTTCGTTTCCTCCGCAAGCTGGCAGCCGCCGGTCAGGCTATCCTCTGTACCATTCACCAGCCGAACTCCGCCCTCTTCGAGAACTTCGACCGTCTGCTCCTTCTCCAGCGCGGTGGACAGTGTGTCTACTTTGGTGACATTGGCAAGGATGCCCACGTTCTCCTCGACTATTTCCACCGCCACGGTGCCGACTGCCCGCCAGCTGCTAATCCTGCCGAGTGGATGCTTGATGCTGTTGGTGCCGGTTCCGCTCCCCGCATTGGCGACAAGGACTGGGCCGACGTCTGGAGGGACTCGGGGGAGTTTGCGCAGACCAAGCGTGATATCGTTGCTATGAAGGAACAGCGCCTTGCCGATGTTGGTAACGCTGAGCCCGTAGAGCAGAAGGAGTACGCCACCCCGCTTATGTTCCAGATCAAGCTTGTCAACAAGCGCATGAACCTCTCCTTCTGGCGCACACCCAACTACGGCTTTACTCGTCTCTTCAACCACGTCATCATCGCTCTCCTCACTGGTCTGATGTACCTTCAGCTCGACGACTCCCGCGCTTCGCTCCAGTACCGCGTTTTTATCATCTTCCAGGTCACCGTCCTGCCCGCCCTCATTCTCGCTCAGGTCGAACCTAAGTACGCCGTCGCTCGTATGATCTCCTTCCGCGAGCAGATGTCCAAGGCCTACAAGACCTTCCCCTTCGCTCTCTCCATTGTAATTGCCGAGATGCCCTACAGCATTCTTTGCGCCGTCGCCTTCTTCCTCCCTCTCTACTACATCCCCGGTCTCAATTCTGATTCGTCTCGCGCTGGCTACCAGTTCCTCATTATCCTCATCACCGAGATCTTCTCCGTCACTCTTGCCCAGGCCATTGCAGCGCTCACTCCCTCGCCCTTCATCGCCGCCTACGTCAACCCCTTCATCATCATCATCTTCGCGCTGTTCTGCGGTGTCACCATCCCCAAGCCGCAAATCCCCAAGTTCTGGCGCGTCTGGCTGTACGAACTCAACCCCTTTACACGCCTCATCGGCGGCATGGTCGTCACCGAGCTCCACAACCGGCCGGTCAAGTGCACGACCAGCGAATTCAACCAGTTCCATGCCCCCGAGGGACAGAACTGTGGAGACTATATGCGCCCCTTCTTTGCCAACGGTGCGCCGGGGTACCTCCTTGATGATGCTGCCGACCTCTGCAACTACTGCGCGTACAAGGTCGGTGATGAGTTTTACCAGCCGCTTGGCTACTCATTTGATAACAGGTGGAGGGATCTTGGGATCTTCATTGCGTTCATTGTCAGCAACCTGGCCATCTTGTTCGTGGCTGCGCGCTACTTGAACTTCAACCGTCGCTGATCTCGAGCTCTGGCTTGTTGGCGTCGTTGGCAGTTCCATGTCATCGAAAAGCTTTTTGTGCATTTAGCAGCACCTAGATCTCTGAGATCTGCATTGGGCGGCGTTCATCATCCTTCTTTAGCGAAGGCATCCTAAATAATAATAGCATGTAGTACACTTAGAATAATTCAAATCTAAGTTACGAACCTTGATGCTGACATTTAGACATCCATCTTGAAAGTGCGGCGGCGTTGTACTCACGGCGTCTTCACAGTCTCACAATGTCATTGTCTCACAGAAGTCATTCAATGTTTGACACGTCTTAGACAGAGCAGCTTCATAGTGAGCAACGCAGCTGCGTCTCCTCTCCCCTCGAATTTGCGAGGTTCTACTTAGCGACACGCTTTTCCGATACCAAAGGCTCATACCCACTCGACGTTGGAACACATTTGGCAATATGCGTCCAGCAGCACACCACGGCCATCGACAGCGCCGCCCACGAGCGCAGAAAGTCACGCATGTTGAACATCAAGGCGTGGGTGATGTGACCTCGATTTACGAAATAGTGCCTCCCTCTGCATCTGCAGTACCTAGTTCATGCTCTGCGCATGAAGCTTCACATTCACTTCCATCCACACCTCTGCCCTGCACGCTAGCCACCTTGGCCACGACAGCGACGGCGACAGCGACAGCGAAACACACATCGGGCTTTCCAGCGACGCCATCTACCTACCCCAAGCACTCACCGCCAATGTTTTTGTACTCGCATCCCATCGTCCCGCCAAAAGTCTTCTCGCACACAATGCAAACTCACGGTCCACGGCCCCTCCACCGCTCGCTCGCGCACAAAGAGCACTATTCTGCAAACCCGCCGCTTGCGCAAATCGGCGCAGCCCTACTGGTCTTCGTTCTCGTCACAGCGACCGCGTGGTGCATCATAGTGATGGGCGTACACTGGCGCGGGACCACCACAGGAATGGTGCCTGCATCGCAGCGGCGTCGGTGCGACGAGCGAGAATACGCCATCGCAGAAGCAGCAGGGTGGTGGGCTCGTCAGCGTGCATGGACGAGGTGGGCAAGCTACGCCGCTCTCCGCAGCGACGATGGAGACGGAAGCCCCGCGTACGAGCTCGGAACTGCAACGCGCGATCTGTGTACGCATCTGGCAACTGGGACACAGGATGCGTCGCCCACGAATCCATATCTTGTGCCGCCGAGCCAGCGGTGGAGAAGAGCTGGCAGACAACGTGGCTCTGCGGAGTGGGCGGAGGAGCATCGTTCGTACTTTTCCGCGTCGGGTACACGCTCGCCAGCCGCGGGTTCGGCTTCACGGGGCCTTGGCTCGCCGCGCTCGTTGTCTGGCGCTGAGCTGGAGGAAGTTGAGAGCGAGGCACGTGAGGCGCAGGGTCGAGGGGCATCGCTCGCGTGTGGAGATAGCCGAGAGGCGCTTGGAAAGACGGAGCGCACGAGTTGGGTGGACTTGGGGCTTGCTGCGGTCGATGGAGCTGTGGATAGGCTGGCTGGGAAGATTGTCAGGTATACTGAGGACGGGGGCAAAGATGAAGCACTCTTGCTACCGCTTACTAAGAGCAAGCAGGATTGAAGGAGTGCAGAGACTGGAAACCACGGCGAGGGCAAATGGTGAAAGTCGTGTATGTGTTTTCCTCGAATCGTTCACTACCTCCAAGTACGCTTATGACTGCCCTCATCCAAACCTGCACTCCCTTACCATCGTCGTCGTCCCTGCTCCATCATCATTGTAATTTCATGCCGCTGCCGTCTTGTGGCGGTCAAACATGCCGTGCAAGATGGTGGTGGTTGTCATGATCGCGAGACTTCTAGACGTACTGGCTGAGCCACCTGATACCCTCGCCGTAACCTATAAGCGTCAGCATGCCCCCTCCCGCGTGGCATTTCCCGACACTCACCCTGCCTCATGACCACACTGCACATGAACACCTCGATGGGCCTGATGCCCTCGAGCGGCACCTTGCCCTTGCCGGTTGTCTGGTAAAGTCCAAGCTCAGCCCTAAGCTGATCCTCGGAGATGGCCTCGGGATGGTCGATCTTGTTTCCGAGGATGAGGAAGGGAGTGTGTGCCAGAGGCTCCATGGCCAGCAGCGCATCGAGCTCGGCCTTGGACTCGGCGAGTCGCTCGTGATCCTTGGCGTCCACAAGGAATACAATGCCGCTGACTTCGGGGAAGTAGTCGCGCCATAGGCGGCGCGCTTGTGCATGGCCTCCCAGGTCGAAAGTTGTGAACTTGACGTTGCCGATAGAGAGCTCTTCGGAGGCTGCGTCGCGTTAGGAAACGGAAGATAGAGCGGCGGAGGTGGGCCTACTAGGGTGAAGAGCTATATGGTTGTCAGTAGATATTCAACAAGGAGGGGCGGTGAACGGACTGGGCTGGAGAACCGCTACACGGTCGTTCTTCAGCATGTGCAGAAGCGTTGTCTTTCCGGCATTGTCGAGACCGAGGAAGAGGAGCTTTGCGTGCTTGTTGGCCAGGCCAAGAGAGGCAAGAAGGTCGAAGACTAGGTGGCCGTATCAGCGTCGTGTGCTCTGCGGAGATCGTGCGATGCTCATGGCTACGTGGAGGTTAGGCTACATACACCTGCAAAGCGTTAGTTTTTGATTATTCGATATCACAATCGAAGCTCACCAGTTGACGATCCACATGTTGAACTGTTCTTAAGAGGTGCTGTGTTCACGGGCGTGCGCTGCGGCGATATACAATGTGAACTTGCCGGAGTTCTGGGATGCTGGATGGCCGCTAGCGTCTCAGGGTTCTTGGCGGTGGCATCACAGGTGAATGATCAGCAATTATTCGAGTGAGAACAGTTCTTCCAGACTCCAGTAGGCAGACGCTTTTGCTATTCGTTACAGATATGGTATCATCCAAGGCCCCTCCCAACGCCCGTAATGCTTGCAGCCAACGCCTTCCTGTCCACTCAGATGTTCACGTCCGTCTCCAAAATGACCTGCGCAGCCGCTGAGAGCTTGTTGGCAATAATCTGATCAGCGATGATGTCGCCGACCTTTTCGTTCAGACGCTCTCTCAGTCCCTCAATATCAGCGACGCCATTGCTCATCGTTGCTGGCGTGTTCTTGCCGAGCCCTTTGATGGCTTCAACCACGACAGCAAGTACTCGCTCTGCATCCTTCTTCTTGCCCTCACTCGCCAGTGCGCCCTTGAGCACGTCGTCGTTGTAGATCTTCAGATTTGGTAAAACAAGCATCTTTGTACCCTCGTTGCTGGTGATGATGAGCAACGCTATTAATGCACCATAGTGTGTACCGAGCGGCTTTCCAACGTCCATGAACTGTCTGAGACAAGTCCTCGCAATTCGCGACTTCAGCCCCTGGTTAGAGGATCCGTACTTCTGGCAAATGCGGCTGAGGATGGACGCAGCCAGCTGCCGTAATCTGAAATGATCTGGGCCGTTCGAGTGGCTGTTCGCTCCAATACCATTGAGCGTTTCTGATGAGGCGTTCGAGGACGCTGTTTGTGTTATTGGTCCTAGATGCTTGCCCGTGCAACACGTCAAGACAGGTGGGACCATGTAGGCGACATAGGGGTCCAAGTATATGGCTTGATTGTCCAGAAGTGCGCTGGTAGCTTGCATCATCTGCTGCAGTACGAATAGGTTCTTGACGTTGTGTGTGACCTTCTCAGCAATGAACGTGAGGAGGTAGGTTGTGAGCTGGTGGATACCGGGCTCTGTTCGAATGGCTGCGAGGGCTGCGTTCTGCCACTCGATGTTCGTCTCGTCGATGAGTGCACCTGAGAGCTTCGCAAACAGCTCCTGCGATTCTTTAGAAAGCACATGTTTCACCAGCGGCTTGACGTTGACGTTGTCCAGTCCATTGGCCGCTGCGAGATGCGGATTCGCGTTCGTGCCCTTGGGTAGGAGGTCGCCCTGGTTGATCGCAGTTGGGTTCTGGGGTATCGATGGTTGCACGCCTTCAACGGCGAGCCAGTGAGCTGGAGCATGTCAGAGATATATTGCTCGAGTACGAGAGGGGCTGAGCAGGTGTAATGGCATACCTGTGAACGTGATCTCTCGTGGCACCTTGGGCAGCGGCGCATTGATCAGCTTCTCAAAATCGACCTCTTCATCCTCGACATAGTACAACGGCTGGCCAGGCCCCAAGGAAGCCTCGCCGAAACGCAGCGGTCGAGTGGACTCGTATCCGTAGAGGGGCTCCACATTCAACACCTTGAGTGCGTTGGACACATCCTGTGTGCTCAACGTCGTCCGCTTGCCGTGTCGCATGAACTTCAGCGCCTCCTCCAGTACCTGCGCAAGCCGGAAGTCGACATCGCGGGCCAACTCCTCAACGACGTTGTCGGCGAGTGAGGCGATGCCCACCGACTCGGCCACATCTCGCACGTTGTCGGGGTTCCAGACGGAGGACATGTTGGGCGCAATGCCAGCGATGAGCTGTCAGCGATGGGCGGGCTGGTCGCGATCGTGTTGCGTCGAGAGGGGAGGGTGACTAGTTGAGCCGATGAAAGGAACAATAGCGTGGCACCGAGCGGGTGACGCAGGTCTGGAGGATGTGACGGCCAGCCCTATGTTCAAGTGAAGCACATCCTGCAGACGCGCATGCGACACAATTCGGTGATCTCCGGAGTGAGAGCTTTGGCGGCGCGTTGAGTTTCTCCTGCGACGCGCGGTGAAGGTAGAGACACGTGGGGCGGCGGCGTCGAAGAGCAGGCGTCGTTTGTCTACCAACAGCGTGTGCTTGGATCGAAGTCGCGAGGCGTGAAGCTTTAGGCCAGGCCTTGGCGCGTGCCCTCCGCTCCGTTCACCAACTCAACCCTTCTCTTCTCCATCGCCAGCCACACGTGTCTTGCAATACGACGAGCTGTCACCCGCTTCTTTACCCAGCACGACAGTTTGTACGTAACACCTGCAGCAACCCAGCATCACAGTCCCTCAGCTTCTTGTCGCGTCTACACGTGTAGTGTGGGATACTCGTTGCGGCCTAGTGTTTACTTCACCCCGACTGCAAAAACGCCTTGCTGCAAATCGATAACGACCCGGGTCTCCCTCTGGCTCGCCTTCAGCGCCGCAGCCAATGATTACCTCATCCCTCGCTTACTCAACCACGGTCCCTCGCAGCCATGCGCGTGGCCCAGGAAGCTATGCTAGCCTGCCACTGGTTCCAGCAAACCAGACCGCCATTTCAAACTTTCCTCACGAGAAAGACCAGTCGACTTAGCATCGCAGTTGGTCTGGACGGCTGCGGCATCTTATCCCCAGCAAATAAGGTATCTGTACACATGTCTATCCCTGCTTGTTGTGGTTACACGCATACTCTATGTCTCGACTACAGTCCCTGCCCGCAGCCACGTTTCCCCGTCGTCGCTGGAGGTACCAATCTTACTGCCATGTCAGGTATCCCCAAAGTCGGGGAAGGGCATCATCTCCCGATTGTACGCCCATCTTGCCAAACAAGTATCTCATTCCAGGTCAAATCTCCTCACCTAGCTTTGTCTGACGCCACCCGTCCTCCCGTACGGCCCGTTGCAACTGTAATTGTCTTCTCTGCATCTGCTAGCCAGGCAGACTTCCCTGTCGACTGACTTATCAGGATCCGAGCACAAACTATTTAACACCAAGGGACGACATTGGTCTTGGACTCACGGAACATCTTCCCTTCTCCAAATAATTTAGACTTGTAGAAGTCATCATCTTGGCTCAAAATAACCTCACCACTCAGAAATATAGTTACGTTCACGCTCAATTATCGACATGGCTGCACCGAACAGCAAGACCATGCGTACCCACGAGCTTAATCACGCTACAAAAACTGCCATCGACACGTCTGCCTCACCGTACGATGAATCGAGAGATGAGCCACCATCACCACCTCCTCAACCACCTCCAAGCCCGGCGGGATGGAACCGTCTCCTTCCGGTATATTGTGTTGCCATTGATACCTGTGCAAATGCTGACCCCACGCCAAGATCAGCTCCCTTGCGCTACGAGGTTTCTGAAGTCTGGGGTACATGAGAGTAGTGTGCGTCAGGACATTGTACTCCGTACCATGTCCGTATACTGACCTGGACAGGTTCTCAGCTGTACCATATCGCAACAATTGTACCTTTGTATCTTGCATCTTGCATCTTGCATCTAGCTTTCACTGATGTCGCTATGCGCCTCTCTCGACAGCTGCATCCAACAGCTGGCGATCCACTGTATCATCGGCTATAACCAGCACCTGTTGTCATTGTACGGCGTTTCTTCTGATGCCGGACGCTTGGGACTTGCGGGAGCAAGGCCTCTGCAAGTCATGGAGGTTACAGTCGCATTTCTTGTGGCCCATCTTCGCTTCTCACTATGCGCAACGGCGCCTTACGTACTGTAATGCATCCCTAGCAACATGTCAGACACTGCAACCCATCATAACGGGCGGCTGTTCTCCGATCAAATTCTTTGGCAACTATCCCTATTACCCCTTCCGCTACTGCTTGTGTGACCATGCGCGACGTGACGCGCACCCGAATAAGCTCTTGCTAAACTCTCCCGGACTGGAGGCGTGGAAACCAACGCGATAATACCGTAATATGCCCGTGTATTAGCATTATCCTAAAAACAAGCAATCGCCGTCAGTTCTGCTCCGTTCAAACAAGCTTCACGTAGCTTGAAAGCTCTCAACTAAGACACACGATTCAATAGACGTGACGCAGGAGTTCAGATGCCTTAGAGGCCGATACAATGTGACCATGATCTCTAAAATGGAGACGAGACTGCTAATGCTCTAAACTAAGAAATTACGAGCACCATTCCTCTACAGTCTGAGCTGACTCAAATGACATTCTTGCTCGTCGTCAGAGTCTCAACGGTTGTGACAGGGATGCAGCAACGCCACCCCAGGCTTCGCTTTCGCCACTACCAGGGCGGTGAAACCTAAGCGGCAAGCGCCATGCTACGCTTAGCGGGCTTTCCCGAAAAAAGACTCTACGTCTTTCGAACCCCAACAAAACAGCCAATCCAATCCACCACACTCCACAACAAGACCCTTACGAGCCTTCAATTGTTTCCACACCTATTTCCATAAACCTGCAGGAGCAGTGTTACTACGCAAACAGCCATTGTCTGAAGCGCGGACGTTTGGGATCGCAACGGAAGCTTATCGCGCTTGCGCCTGCACAGACTTCAAGCCGCATACGAGGGGCAGTCATACACTGAGCACTGGCTGCTACACCCGTTGCACTTGCGAGAGAGACACGCCCCCATCGTATGATCGCTGCTTAAAGCCAGCTGTAATCTTCTACACTACCTCGCCCTCTTCTGGCACCCAACATGGCTGTCGATAGCTCAACCGTCTCGGTACAGACGGAAACAAAAGACCAAATACTACAATGGTATTCTAAACTCTTCAGTCGCCGTGTTGATCTCGTGGGCGACTTCGCGGGTAGCGAACGATTCCTGATCCACGGAGAATCACTTCTGCTCCATTGCTTCAGCGACGCACAGATCGACTTCGAGCCTGGGCTTCAGCTACTACACGCCTCGTACGCAGTGGAGAAATTCTTGTACGGGCTTGTCACTCGCCGCTGCAACTTTCACATTGCTTTCTTCGATGAATACCAAGATCTTTGTGTACCACAAGATGCCTCGCCTGCCGTTAGCGAGAAGTACTTGCTCGCAAGAGCTGCCATCATCCGCCATTTGCAAATCAACTTGCGCCCAGTCCACCCAGATATCGAAATCAAGGTGTTCCCTTCAACAGCCTCCGCAGCATTCGAGGAGTACCTCAGCACGACCGATGTATACTTCATTTTGTGCCATGACGGAGCCTCCACAAGAGATGTTCGCAAGAGGCAAGTCTTCCAGAAGGATCTTGAGAACCTCAAGGGCGAAGACAAAAGCCTACAGGAACGACACGAGCAATACAAGGCGTCCCTGCGCATATTCATCTACAGCATGATGCAGAGGGGTTATAGTGCTGCGCTCGTTAATGGCGTGGAGTTCCAGGATACGAAAGCTATTGCATCGGTTCTTGAGCACTCCCGTGCGATGACTTTGACAGTTCCACAATCGGTAAGCAACAGGCAGAATCGTTCCATACCAAAAGCATGCTGCGCGACGAGCAGCACGAAGCTTTATTTGCAGACTCAAAGATAGAACTAACACACATTTACAGATATCACAATCAGATCTAAATGCAGAGGCAGACACAGCGGCTCTACAAAAATCGCTGGCCACAGTCAAGTCGTCCAATGAACATGCCTTCACCGAGCGCGAGTATTTGGCGGTAATAGTCGCCTCAAAATTCGCGTCGAAAACGAAGGACCACCAGGACTTTGCAATCGCCTTACTTCGTCACACTGCACTCTTATCCGAGCTGAGCCTGCCAGATCGCTTGATGCACTATCAAGAGCCATCGCAGGATTCTCGTACTCTCATCCTCGAGTTCTGCCAAGAAGCGCGCAAGACCATCGCGCAAGCAGCATGGAGTGAAGAGGCTGGCAAAGAGGCCGCAGCTTGCGACGTTGCGGACCTCATTGACGGTCGGCTGTTCGCTGCTTGTCTCCAAAACTCATCAGCACCAAGCTCAGACCTCTTCCAACATTTGGCACGAGCTGCGTCAGCGCTATGTGGGCAAGAGGGTCTTGCGAAGGTCTCTGGCGCCTTAGCCACTAACAGCAAATCGAATGGTAAGGCCCAAGAGTCCGAAGAAGGAGCGTCATACCGCCTTTTGCCATTCGCCAACGACATTTTCGACCAGCATCTGGCTCCTGTCCATCTGAAAGTTGCCAAGTCTGACGGCAAGGTCGACTCGACATCAGCAGTGATCTTCCGTGAGGTTTCGCATTGGCACAACAGCAAGCCGCTTCAAAGCAAGAGCGGCCCTGTCGTCAAAGACGAGAAGGCAGCAAAGAAGGCATTGCGCCGCAATCAGTTCTTCATGGCAGAGATGACAACCTACGCTGCTAGTCTGACTAACGCCGTGGGAAGGGCGCTTGAACCAGAAACTATATATGTTGGTGCCTCAAAGCCAAGTACCCCAGCTCCTTCTAGACCTGCAACACCCAGCCAGGAGTCAGCCGACAAGAAGGGTAAGAAACAGGGAGGCAAACCTGGAGGCAAGCCCGGCGGCAAAAACAAGAACCAGGCCAAGCAGGATATGCTCGCGAACATCGCCGCTACTTCGGCAAAAAAGAACGAAGATTCTGCTGATAAGCAGATCAAAGCTTGGGTCGTCGTTTGCGAAGGCCTCGAGAAGCAGGCCGATCTGACAGCGCGATACGAGAAGGCCAAGAAGCACCTCCTCAGTCTGAACAATGAGCTCAAGCGCAAGGCCCTGGAAGCTGAAGTTCGTACATATATGTTGAACGTCCTGCTCAAGATGTGGATTGAGCACTGCCGCAAGGACGACAAAGAGGAGGGCTTGTATACCGCTGCCTTGATCTTTGATGCAGTCCGTGCTATCTGCGGCCTCTCCAACGTGACCAAGACGATCGCAGCTTGCCTCACGACCACCATCGACCGACTGAAGCTTCCTTCTCTGACGGTGCCAGCGACTGATGGCGACCGTAAACTGCCGTTCGCATTTGTACTGGACGAGACTTTGAGTGCCGACCTTTCGCTTAGTCTCTCGCCGGAGGAGTTCCAGTTGCTCTACTGTGGGCCTTACTTCGACCGCACGATGGATTCGGCTCCCGATTCTCGTGTTCCTTTCGAGCCAGATGCGTGGCAACGCAAGGTCCTGGACGAGATCGATGCTCGCCGCAGTCTGCTTGTTGTAGCTCCGACATCCGCTGGTAAAACTTTCATCTCGTTCTACGCCATGAAGCAGGTTTTGGAGTCAGGCAACGACGACGTCCTGGTGTACGTGGCCCCTACAAAGGCACTTGTCAACCAGATCGCAGCCGAAGTACAAGCCCGTTTCTCCAAAAACTACAAGTACGCCAACTCGGTCTGGGGTATTCATACCCGTGATACCCGTGTCAACAATCCCACTGGTTGCCAGATCCTCGTCACGGTTCCCCATATCCTGCAGATCATGCTGCTCTCACCGAGCAACGCCAAAGGTTGGTCCGAGAGAGTCAAGTGGATCATCTTTGATGAAGTCCACTGCATTGGACAAGCTGAAGACGGCTTGATCTGGGAGCAACTTCTGCTCATGGCGCCCTGCCCTATCATCGCACTTTCTGCTACAGTCGGAAACGCCGAGGCTTTCAGCGATTGGCTTTCTTCCACGCAGAAGGCTGCTGGCAATGATTTGACCATGGTTCAGCACAAGCACCGTTACTCAGACCTACGAAAGTTCCTGTACATCCCCCCAAAGGACGCTGCCAAGCGTCTTGCAGCAGCGCTTCCCCTGTCGACGAACCGCACGTTCGCCCGTCTAGGTCTAGACGATGTACCGAACTTCACGTTTATGCATCCCGTTGCCAGTTTGACGAACAGGAAACGTGGCATGCCGAGTGATTTCTCCCTCGAAGCACGAGACTGCTACTTCCTCTGGCAGAGCATGACGAAGCACCAGACTGAAGACTATCCAGTCGACAAATCCCTCACTCCCTCTACTGTACTGCCCAAGGTCATGCGCAAGGCTGATATCATCAGCTGGGAGTCAGGCCTGAAGGAGTTGCTCGCTAAGTGGATGGCTGATGACAACTCGCCATTCGAGGCAGTACGCAAGGACTTTAGCAGTTCTGTCAACAAGTCAGCTCTTCAGATTAAGGAGAGTGGTACTTCAGAGTCGGTTCCTGATGACGTGGAGGTTGACGACCCTGCAAGCAACCACGACGTTGATAACATCTTGCCTCTGCTGACTGAGCTTCATCAGCAGGATGCTCTCCCAGGTATCATCTTTAATTACGACCGAGCGGTCTGCGAGAGGATGTGCCGCACAGTTTTGACTCAGCTAGAAGATGCCGAGACTGAGTGGAAGAAGACCAGCCCGAAGTGGGCAGAGAAGCTGCGCGAGTGGGAAGAGTACAAGAAGGAGGTCGCCCGCCGCGCCAAGCAAGGTGTTCGCGCCGCTAAGGGAACTACCAAAGAAGAGCAGATGATGGAGGCCGCCAACCGCGAGGTCAGTCCATTTGCAACCTTTGATCCGGACAGGCCATTGGAAGGCTTTCATTTCGCGAACAGTAAGAGGCTGTCGAGTGAAGAACTCCGCAATCACGAGAAGGAGCTCCGCTACCGCGGTGTTGACGAGATCTTCATCCAAGGTCTTCAGCGTGGTATCGGTGTGCATCATGCTGGTATGAACCGAAAGTACCGCTACGCCGTCGAAGTACTGTTCCGCAGGGGCTACTTGAGGGTCGTCATTGCAACCGGTACTCTCGCACTCGGTATCAACATGCCGTGTAAGACTGTTGTCTTCTCTGGAGATTCAATTTTCCTCACAGCCCTCAACTACCGTCAAGCTGCTGGTCGTGCTGGTCGTCGTGGCTTCGACTCGCTTGGTAACGTTGTCTTCCACGGCGTCTCGCTCAGCAAGATCAACAAGCTCATCAGCTCTCGTCTGCCCGATTTGAACGGACACTTTCCCATCACTACGACCCTGGTCCTGCGGCTGTTCTCGCTCCTTCACGACTCGGATAACTCGCCGTTCGCTGTGCGCTGTGTCAACGCGCTCTTGTCGCAGCCACGTGTGTACCTCGGTGGTGAGGAGTCAAAGATGACTGTCCTCCACCATTTGCGCTTCTCTATCGAGTATCTGCGTAGGCAGTCGCTGCTGTCCTCGGAAGGAACACCGCTCAACTTTGCAGGTGCCGTCAGCCATCTGTACTTCACTGAAAACTCATCTTTCGCCTTCCACGCACTGCTGAAGAATGGATACTTCCACGAGCTGTGCAACAAGGTCAACACAAATCAAGAGCTGGTCTTGCGCGAGCTTATGCTTACCATGTCCCACCTTTTTGGTCGCCTACAATGCAGACAAGCCGACGAGGAGTTCGTGCAAGAGGTCGTCAAGGGCAGTCCATCCGTTGTGTTCCTGCCTGACATGCCCGAGAATGCAGTCAGCGTCCTGCGCAAGCACAACAAGCAGACTCTCGACATCTTCACTTCGTACGTCCGCACCTTTGTCGAGCAGCACATCCAGGAGTCCGACAGCATACTGCCCCTGACTACTACTGTTGTCGGCGGCAAATCAGCCTCAGGCTCAGCACCCAGGGTCCGTTCATCCTTCGTTGCTCTCTCCGGCCACAACGACGACTTCGCATCTATTCACGACCTGTGCACTACCAGCCGCTCCGGCGTCTTCCTCGAAGAGGCTGTCGTCCCGTACGTTGGCATCTATCCCGAAGATTCTGACCTGCCGCTTAACGCGTACCTGTACGACTTCTTCATGCACGGCAACGCGACCGCCGTCGTGACTGCGAACCGCATCCGGCGCGGCGACATCTGGTTCGTGCTTAACGACTTCAGTATGGTGCTTGCAACTATCGTGACTAGCTTGACAAATTTCATGAACCTCGGCACCGAGTCTGATCTCGATTTCATCGATGTCCGTGGCGGTGGTGACGACGAAGAAGAAGACCTTGAAGATAAGCTGCAGGGCGTTTCTGAGGCCCCTGGCCCTGAGTCCGGCGTCCAGGGCGCGAGGGGACCCGCGCAGCAGCAGAATCTGCCCGTCCAGTTGGCTAAGAAGAAGAAGAAGGTTATGGAGTCCTGGGACGACGAGGCGGAGAGCGAGAGTAGTGAGGGCGAGAACTGGGATGATGGGGAGGATAGTGATGAGGAGAAGGGTGATGTTGCGTGGGATGAGCAGACTGGATTACTGAACGTGCTCAAAGCGTTTAAGTTGCTCAAGGCGGACTTCGATACCAAGTTCAAGGCGATGTGGGCTTAGTCATATGGTGGATGAGTGTGCGTCACAATGATTATGAATTTGTGTAGAACGACGAAAGTATGACAGAAATCGAGATTCTGAATGCATCCCCAAAAAAGGTTCTCCATGTGAGCTTGATGGTGACGGCGGCGTCTCATCTTTCCACCGGCGATTGTATATAATCTCCGAAAACTGCCCGAGGACAGTTCGTATCTGTACATAAGTAGATTCTAATAGAACCGTATCTACCTATTTCCCGTCACCATTCGCATCAGACGAGAGTCATAGGACCAAGAACATCCGCGTCCTTCCTGATGTTTTCTCATTTGATCAAGCGCTCAGGTCTCCGCTGAGCAAATTCTTCCGCCCACAGATCACCCCTCATCTGGGGCCTAACACGAGCTTCCATCAACCCACAGCCCAAGCGCGGCACTTTCGTCCCGTGTAGCTGATCATCTCCACAAACGTGCATTCGGTCAGCCGTCTGCTGCGCATTGGGGCAAGCGCCACAGATGACTGTTCGAGACCACCAAACATGAAACATTGCCGGGGTATGATACAAGCGCAGTAAACAAGCTTTGCGCGAGCCATGAACGGCGTTTCGAACCCATTGGGATTGACGAGAAATCAAGATGACGTGCATGCGAAGTTCTCTTAAAAGCTGAGAGCATGGAGAATTTAGTCGATATGTGTTCGAACCTCTCCGCGACCCAATGCGGCTGCGTTTTCGCAAATGAAGTACGACATACGATCGTGAGATCCGGGGCGGATCGGCAGCGTTCATTTATTGTTAGTTTTCGCAGGTCCTTTTCTCCGCGCCGCAGATATTGTGGGAAATGGGACTTAATAGATCGACCCTGGGGTCATGCGCAAGCGCATGTGCGCATCCTACTCATATCTTCATATACCTTCGACACCTCGGTCGTAGGCTCTCCTACACTTCTCCGTTTACTCTTTCCAACTTTCAATTCCAACTCTAGTCACTCATTCCTGTTGATCAGATTGCTACTTTGAAATGCACTTCTCTTCGCTCCTCGTGGCGGCCGTTGCGGTTCTGCCCGCCACTGTTTTCGGTCAGCTTTCCGGCGGTGTTGGACCCCTGACTACGCATGCTGCTAAGACCAAAGTCAAGACCTGCAGTGTCTTGGACTTTGGTGGCAAGGCTGATCAAAGCACCGATATTGGTCCCGCTCTTCTAAAGGCTTTTGCAGCCTGCAAGACTGGTGGTACAGTCGTTGTCCCTGCCGGCAACTATGCTATGGCAACGTGGGCTACGTTTGAAGGCGGCAAGGCTTGGGCACTGCAGCTTGATGGTGTCATCTTCCGTACCGGTACCGACGCGGGTAATATGCTGTTCATCCGCAATGCGAACGATTTCGAGATGTTCAGCAGCACCGGCAAGGGAGCTATTCAGGGCAGGTGATGTCACATGATTCTCAGGACGAAGTGACTGACCTATCTATCAGGTCTTGGATTTAAAGATCACGTAAATGGCAAGCGCGATGGCGCCCGTCTCTTGCGTGTCGAGAAGACCAACAACTTCTCCGTTCACGATATCATTCTCGTCGACGCACCCATGTTCCACTTCGTCATGAACACCGTCACCAACGGCGAGGCCTACAACATGGCTATTCGCGGTGGAGACTGGGGCGGTCTCGACGGCGTCGACGTCATTGGCACCAATGTCTGGATCCACGATGTATGGTCCCTCCACCACGCCCGATCTATTGCAGTCTTCTTACTGACATGCATAGATCATGGTCACTAACAAAGACGAATGTGTCACCGTAAAATCGCCCTCCTCCAACGTCCTCGTGGAAAACATCTACTGCAACTGGTCCGGCGGATGCGCCATAGGCTCACTCGGCGCTGCTACAGCAATCTCGAAGATCCAGTACAAGAACGTCTACACCTGGAATTCGAACCAGATGATGATGATCAAGTCCAATGGCGGCAGCGGCTTCGTCGAGGACGTGGTGTTTGAGAACTTCATCGGTCACGGCAACGCGTACGCCTTCGACATCGACCAGTTCTGGGCGTCCACGAGTACCGTTGCCGGTAACGGTGTGCAGTTGACCAACATCACGGCGAAGAACTGGCGGGGCGCGCAGGCCAACGGCGCTCAGCGTGGGCCGGTCAAGGTCGTGTGTGCCGATGCAGCGCCCTGCACTGAAATCGATGTGAGCGATATCCAGATGTGGACCGAGATTGGCAACAAGAACGTGAACCTGTGCCGCTCAGGCCATGGCACAGGCGCGTGTTTGAAGAGTGGTACGGGTTCGTATGCGCAGATCACACAGACTGTTACTATTGCGCCCACAGCGTTTTCGGCTGCCACCATGGCGGGTGATTTGAAGACTGCATTTGGTACTGCCAGCAGCATTCCCATTCCCACTCTGCCGGCTAGCTACTACCCCAACACGCCTCCAATCAGTAGGGCTCCATAGATGAGTTTATAGTGCCGTGGGGTGTCGCAGGAGGTTTCTTGTATATATATCGACTTTGAGAGCGGTAACCCGTAGCAAATGATCAGGTACTACCTCAAGGTGTTCATAGATTTCACCGATTGCCGCCAGTGATATTCCCGGTGCAGTACCGATAGTTGATCAGTATTATTGCATGTATATCTCATCCATTTCAACATTTTCCGATGCTCTCCCTGCTTTGCAGTCCCTCTGTACCTCCAAAGTTTCTACACAGGTCACTCACCGTTCAGCTACAACTCCATGTGCTCTTTAAATCCACAAGTCCACTCATTCTGTGTCGGCAGCTTAGCTGTATTAGGGATATTACTGCTCTCCCGGAACTCAACGATCTGCCTCTTCCCCTCGTTATCCCTGATGACAGCAAACGCAGCATTAGTGAAATATATAGTCCGCTTTGCCAACCTATGCATACCGCCCGCCCATCCGATCATATACACAAAGCCACCCTTATCGCCATTCGCATTGGGTATACCCAGCGTATTGATAAACCCGTGCTGGAACGGCGCAAAACTCTCGCCCAGCGTTGCGTTGAAGCTGTGGTACAGATCCAGCGAGCCTTCGTAGTTGTAGTGCGTGTCGTTGAATGTGAACTTGATGTCCTTTGCGAGCGCAGCGTCGCGGATGATGGGCCAATTGCCGTTCTCGGGGTAGGGATAGAAGCCGTTAATTTGGCACTCAAGCCAGCTTGAGAGCTGGACGCTGGCATTCACGCTTGCTGATTCCGCGAGTGCGCAGGGGTTCTGTGTGTTGGGTTGGATGGTTTGACCGAGTGTGTTCTGAATATCGTCTACGTTGATTGCGATTGCGTTTGCTGTTGTCGCGAGACTGTATGCAGCAGCGACTACGTTGGGTTTAGCTCAGGCCATGTGGGTGGTCAGCGTTCAACATACGAAGCGAGGAAAGGATAAGCATTGCGAACGTCAATTTAGGGCACTTTGGAATGGTTTGGCTGAGTGAATATTGATTTTTTGGGCAACAGCGCTCGTGCATACAACAAACTTTGGGTTACTTGAGTGGCTTATATGTTGCATATGTAGTGGAGGAGGACCTGGGGAGGGACTTGGTGCCTTGCAGCCGCAGCTGAGGCTGAGCAACAGGAACGCTTGCCTAGCGCGGACGTAAGCACGGGGATAGCAACTAAATTGGACTATTTGCTGCATGCGGGCGACTAAAAACAACCTGGATTATGAGTGGGCCGAAATGTTGTTCGTCAATGTCGTAGGCGTGAATATCACCGGTAATGAGTGCGATTGGATCGGTGTGATACGAAGGAACAGAATATGCATCATAACTCGGGTAGGCAAAGGAGGCCGCCCACCTGAGCGGAGGTCCGCTGAGCTTGGAAATTGCGCAGCACTTGTTCGACCTGACTTAAGGTCCATGTTAGAGGCCTGCAGTGCTCATGCGACAAAACAAGAACAAGCAACTTATTTTACTATAGTATATAAATGTACAGATTGGGTGTACATCCAACAAAACGGATAACAACAGCCCGGCTGGCACAATCGGTAGCGCGTGAGACTCTTAATCTCAAGGTTGAGGGTTCGAGCCCCTCGTCGGGCTTTTCTTTTTTACACTCGGAATGGTCTCAATAGCTGTTGTGGCCGTCAATTCATCGGTTAGCGAGTTTTTGCTGTGGCTGGTGGTAGCAGGCTCATTCGGGGCTAGCGCCGATGAGACACGGATCACGTGCGCATGTACAAATGACGCATCCGACTGCTATTGATCTTGATGAGGGCTATGAAGGAGGGTCTGGATGCCTTCGTGTGGTGTTGACCCGCTGCGTATCGTGCAGCATGTTGGACTGTGCATGCAGTCACTTGCAGTCCTCCCCATTATCTGAGAGCAGCGACGTACCCAGCGGGGTTTGTGACTTCCACACCTCAAGCATCATACTTTTACAAGTACTGTCCGCGGACACGTTAATGGTCCTTCCATACACGTATTAACACGTTCGCGTTCATCACACCAGCTGCATGCACATCCGTGCTGCCTGTCACAACCTCTTAATGCCTCAGTCTCCTATCGGAGAACGAACTATCGGAGATCGTTGCTTGGAAAAACTGGCAGTGGCAGATGCAGCACCAGCCACCTGAAGGCCGGGATCTTCAAGATGAACCATGAAGACACACGAGACGACTGTATGAGAGGAGAGTATGATGAACAGTGAACTGTCGAAGAGATGACAATCGTGAGGCTGGTCGTCAGCGAATTGACAACATCACACTAGCTCGAACGCAGGTGCCCACATGAGAGCCACCAACCCCGACCCACTCCACAGCTCTTATCTACTACCACATCGCTAGCACGACGTCCTCAGGTCTCAATTTGCTGGCAGCTGTGTTGCAAAGGCCAGTGTTCCTAGGCCACAATGATCATCTGCTTTCTGCGCTCTGCCTGTTGCTGGCGATCTCAAAATAAATTGACTCTCACCAAACGCCACGCGAGCGGGGTGGGCCAATGTGCGGAGATGGAGTCTGGGGTACTTGTCGCTATTGGCCAACCACAGCACGGCGCGCTTACGGCGTATGGATACTCTTCTTCGGCAATCGCATCACGCATCACTGTAGGTATACCTCCTATCTGTCGTCAAGCGACAGGCCGCCAATTGTCTGGCCAGTTTGAATCGAGTACCGCAAGGCTATCCGGCACCGTCGAAGCGGGATGCACTTGCCTCTTTCGTACGACGCGCCGAGATCAAGATGGTCGGCCAGGCGCATCCAGGACGCTAGGCATTCCCCGCGGAACAACCTTGATGAGTAGCCTTAAGTGAGCGTCCTCCACGGTCAGACAGACATCCCGTCCCGAATCGGTCCTTTGTCCTCAAGGCACTGACCCTCTCAAGATGTCGTCTACCGCTATGCAAGGCGCCATACCGGGCACGATCCAGCTAATCGATGTCGACCATACGGTAGAAGCACGTCATACTGGGAATGGAGACATCGTCTTGCAGCCTACGCCTTCGAACCATCCAGATGATCCTCTTAACTGGACACCTCGCCGCAAGCTGCTTGCATTGATATGTCCGAATCTGTGGGTTGGGTCTGCTACGTGCTTTCATCAAGCTGATTGCCTTCCGCAGATACGTTTGGATGTGTGGTATTGCACAGTCGAGCATCTACTCCGTGATCGTCCCCCTCTCTGACGCGAATGGAATCTCAGTATCAACCCTGAACGAAGGCACCGGATTCATGTTTTTGCTCATTGGATGGAGTCAACTCTTCTGGCAGCCCTTTGCGCTCACATACGGAAAGCGTCTAGCATACTTGATCTCCATCCTTGGTGTCACAGGCATTACATTATGGAGTCCTCACGTCAAAAACAATGGCGAATGGATCGCAAGAAGCATCCTACTCGGTTTCTTCGGCAGCCCATATGATGCTCTGCCTGAAGTGTCTATCGCTGACATCTACTTCACTCATCAAAGAGGTACAGGTCTCAGCATCTACGCGTTCTGCGCTTTGGCTAGCAACTACTTCGCGCCTATCATCTCTGGCTTCATCTCGGAGCGACAAGGCTGGGAGTGGGTGTTCTACTGGCCCGCGATCTTCACGGGAACAACCTTCATCTTCCTGTTCTTCTTCTTGGAGGAAACAAACTACGACCGCGTTATTACTGGCACGGCCATTGTACCTGGTCGACAAGGCTCTGTCGACGATGTCGACAACCCCAAGGCTCAGCCACTATCAGCTATCCAAACCACTGCAAGCGAGGAGCTTCGCGTCACAGCAAAACCCAAGACTTTCACGCAGAAGCTCTCCCTCTGGAATCACTCCCAGAATGGTACCATGCTCAGCCATCTTCGCAGCATCACTCTCTATTTGACATGGCCCGTTGTTGTCTACACGGGCTTCTCAGCTGGCTCGTACCTAATATGGTTCAACATCCTTAACGCCACCGCATCGCTTATCCTCAGCGACACACCGTACTTCTGGGGCGCTGAAGCCGTCGGTCTTAGCTACTTTGCACCCATGATCGGCTGTGGTGTTGGCATGCTGGTTGCAGGTCATTTCAGCGATCATCTGACTATCAAGCTAGCGCGCCGCAATAAGGGTGTGTCAGAGGCCGAGTTCCGCTTGTATCCGTTCGTCATCTGCATGGTTATGGTGCCTGCGGCGGCGATTCTGTGGGGTGTCGGTGCGGCGCAGCAGATTCATTGGTTTGGTCTACTTGTAGCGATGGGCATGTTGGCTTTTACGACGTGTCTTGGCTTCACACTGAGCATCAACTATCTGATCGACAGCTATCCTGCTGTATGCGGAGATGCAATGGCGGCCACAATCATCACCAGAGATACCATGATGTTTGCTGTCAGCTATGCGTGAGTCATGTTTCTTTTCCTTTTGGAGCTGGACTAACACTTGTGCAGGATCACCCCCTGGATTGAGAGTATGGGCTACCGGAACTGCTTCATCACCGCTGCCTTTGTTGGTCTGGCATGCGTATCAACATTCTTGATCATGGCCAAATGCGGCAAAGGTCTGCGCAAGAGGAGCGCAGAAAAGTACTGGAGCATTGTTGGCGCTGGCGGTGGCCACTAGGAATAGCCCCACGATCCAGAGTACCTTGTCATCAAGCCCACCTCCCATCTACATCACCCCTCGATGTCAGATTCTCCAAACCTCCCAACGGCCCAAGACTAGGCGGTACATCCTCCGGCTGTGTACCCCACGCACTTTCGCTTGCGCCCAGTGTCAATTCCAACACACCGCCGTTCAGGAAGAAACTATGCGTGATCCAGTTCCTCGTATACTGCACCCCATCCAGCGTTGCACTCTGAATATAAATACTCTCGTACGTCGGGTCGAAGTTCACATTCCGAATCGTCGCCGTGTTGCCTGTCTGCTGGTTCCGAATATTCACCTCCTCGAAGAACGGCGGCGTAATGAAATACACATCCTGCCCGGCATTGGGATACAATCCCATCATGACGAGCGCTTCAAAGCTGCCCATAGCGCCGGAATCGTCGTTGCCGGGGATGCCGGCGACCGTGTCGTTGAACAGGCTGGGGACGTACTGGTGTGCGCGCTCTGCGCTCTTGGCGGGGCGGCCGGCGTAGTGGTACAGGTACAGGTTGAGGAAGGCTTGTTCGTCGCCGACGTACAGGATGCCGGATTCGTGCAGCCAGTCTAGGCGCTTGGTGAATGTCTCGGGTCCTCCAAGGGTGGAGATGAGAGACGCCATGTCGCCCGGCACGTAGAACGTGTACAGCCACACGGGCCCTTCATAGGTCTCGCCACCTGCAGGGTTGAGATAGCACCCTGTGAAATTGAAGAGCGGGGAGCAGTAGATCGGGTCTTGGAACCCGAATGTGCCGTTTAGGTAGCGCGGCTGCAGGAAGCCGGTGAAGTTTGTGTCGACCCCGTTGACGATGCTGCGTTGGGCGGGATTGAACATGTTTCTCCAATTACCACTGCGTTGAAGATACTTCGCTGCATCATCGAGATGTCCCATCGCACGCGCCAAAGTGCTGATGGCGAAGTCGTTGTACGCATATTCGACGGTGCGGGAGATGGAGCGGGTCTCCAGTCCCGTCCCATCGGTGTCCAGGTTCTCGGTTGGAATGTACCCAAGACTCTTCCAGGATGCCAGGCCCCCGCGACCTTCCAGATTCCAGTCTGGAGACTCGACTTCAGCGTCTTTGACAACGGCTTCGTACGCGAGGGTCCAGTCTATACCCGAGGTTATGTTCTTCAGATATGCGTCCACGAGCACAATATCAGCATTCGAACCGCCCTGCGTGAACCCCTTGCACATGCTCATGCGGCAGTCGGGAAGGTAGCCGGTGTGTTTGTATATACTCAGCAGACTGCGCACCATGAGAGTTTGGCTGTGTGGATCGAGGATCGTAATGAGCGGGTGAATGCTGCGGAACGAGTCCCAGATACAGTAGTAGGAGTCGTAGTACGGTTCGCCGTCGTTCCAGAAGGGATTCTCGTTTGTGTAGTCTTGTGGGGATATCATAGAGCGGTATATACCGCTCCAGAATGCGCGGAGGATAACCTCGTCGACTCCGCCATCATTGAGTGTGATGACGGAGAATTTCTCGTCCCACGCGGCTGCAGCGGAGGCAGCGATATCGCCGAAGTTGCTGTCAGGGATCTCGCGCTCGGCGTTTGCGCAGGCTTGTGCTTCGCTGATGAAGCTCATGCCCACTCGGGCGAGGATCTGGTTGGCATATCGCGGCTGCTCGAACTGTACCCAGCCTCCAGCGGGAGTATCACTCGGTGTTTGTCGACTATCTCCAGGCTTGATCTTGAGGCTTGTAACTTGCTGTGAGGCGCGCGAGTTGGACCATACGCCCGCGTCTTTGACTGTTGCACCGTCGAAGTCCAGACAGAAGTAAGATTGATACGTTCCGCTTCCGAAGGATGGCGAAAACCGTCCACCTCCTGTAATTCGTCCATTGTCGGGGTACACTGTGATATTGGCCTCGCTTCTTGTCTGTGGAAGATCGGTAAGGTCGACCAAGATATGCGGGTTAAGCGTCGTGTTTGCAGTGGTAGCAGCATCCGGAAACGTGAACCTGTACAAAGCCGTGTGATTCGTGACTGTCATCTCCGTCCTGATATTGCTAGTCATGGTCACGTCAAAGTACCCCGGTCGTCCATTTGCGCTTCCTTGCTGGCGAGGTGTTGCGCGCTGCCAGAGCGTGTACTTGCACGCGTTGATGTCGTCGTTCGGGCATCCTGACTGGGGGAAGATGGGGAAGTTGCCGAGAGATGCCGAGCCACCGGTGCCGCTATCGTGCATGTGCGAGAATCCATAGATCGGGCTGTTATCTGATGAGAAGCCTCCTTGATTCTCGCCGCCGTAGGTGTCAGCTCCGGCTTTGGCCATGCCTGCTTGCTATCAGCTGTTGTTGGTAGACGAGACGAGACGACCTACCGAAAGGCAGGGTTGCACCGGGGAAGACATGTCCTAGGGGAGTCAATATTTCAATGCGGTGTAAGCTGTGTGTTCTCTCTGACCTCCGTTAGTAGTCCCGATCAGTGGGTTCACATAAATCTTCGGCGATTTGCCTCGTGCATCCGGCTGAACTTGAGCATCAACACATCCTGTCAAGAACAGGCACGCGGCCAGAACGGCATTATCACGCGCGGGTGGTCTCATTGTCGAATTACCAGATTAAAGAAATAATGTGACATGACTGCACGCGTGGATTTCGCCTGTATATATGGCCGCTCATTCCTACCCTCTTGGCATGACACGATGTAACTTCCGCTCGCATCCTTCGGATCAGGCACCTGCAAGTTGAACATCGTGCCCAGACAGGGAATTTGCATATCGTTAAACCTGGCAGTATCGCTAGTGTTAAGGATTTGATGTAACCATATTGCGGAGTGGCGCGGGGTACATTGTTAGTGGCCGATCTGTATGGAAGACACGGGATACTTTCCTGACGGTGTGCATCTCTCAGGACTAGAACGTGGAATTGCTGGAGAGGATTTGTCGGCTGAAAGTGTGTTGGATTCCGTGCGCCTATGCTTGTATGGAGTTGAGGCGGCGCGTGTGAAGCTTATATTTACACAAGCATTTAGTACGGCTCGAAGCGCTTCTTGTCTCTCTTGTCTTTCTTGTCTCTCCGCTTCTCTTTTCGGTCCTTCTTTTCCTTCTTCTTCGGTCCGGCTCCTTCGTCGATGTCCATGGTCTCATCGGCAGATATTTCGGTCTTCCAAGCGCGAACCTGGCCGTCTTCGCCGACTGTGTACGTCGCCTGTGTCTGGTCGTACGTAAGCAGAGGTTCAAGCATATACCTGGATATATACTCACGTGTGTATCTGTGAACAGATCTCGCACAACCTCCTCGCCGTGTGCACCCGGCAGTCTGACGCTCTTCGTAAGGTCGTAGCCGTACTGCAACACACCTGCACCCTTGTATACTGGTACGAGATCGAGACGGCTCTCACTGTTCTTGTTAGCATACATCGGTCAGGCGTGATATCAAACGTGCTAACCTGTGCTTTCCTGCTGCAATTACCGGCTGGTTACCGACCCAATGCATCTTCACCAGATACTCGCAGCCCAGAGGCTCTCTCACATCGCCAAAGGCCTTTGGCGCCGGCTCCTCTTCCTCCTCTTTCTGACTCTGCAAAGCGTAGAAGCTCATTGTTTCGTCAGTACCGAGCGCGAATATTTCGGTGCTTGGGTACATGAACCCAGCATGGGCGATTGCAGATCCATGGTTCATGACCTGGTACAAGGCATCATCCTCATCAGCCTGTGATGTGTCGAAGATGTTCACAAGACCGTCCGTACTAGATGAGAGGAGTAGAGTTGGGTGATCCGGGTGTAGCTGGAGAGATGTAATGGTATCTGTGTGAGATTCCAGGAATGAGCGGAGAGGTGCTGATGTGTTGCGCTGGTCCCTGTGCAGTGTTAGACAACAGATAAGTCTGCTGCGGCGCTAACTCCGTACCAGACATAGACAGGCGACTCGTGAGCACCATCGTCAGGATTTTCGATACCGCAAGCCACGAAGTTGACTTCTGTGTTGCACACAAGTGCTGAGATTAGCTTGCTTGCTGCGCACCTGGTCAGTCGTGATTATGCCGCTCATCCACTGTCTTAAACATACGACTTTGGATCTCCATGACCTTTTCTCTGGTCCGCTTATCCCAATGCCTGATCAAGCCATCTCGTCCTGCAGTTGTTACAACATTGCTGTGCCCATCGTTACCCCTCTCCAGACAGGTGATGCTGTTGTTGGCGTTTTTGCGAACGTCGACCGTTCTCAAGTCTGGACTCAAGAAGCGCAACGAGTCATCGGATGCGATGATGGCAAGCTGATCTATCTTAGAGTAGGCGAGTGGACCTGTCCGTGCCGCGGTAGAGATGATCCTGTAGATGTACGAATTCGGCGGCAGCCCAATGTCAGAGCTGAAGAGCTGCTTTACCATCTGGAGAGAATGTCAAGGCGAGCCAGGAGATATGAGATCAAAAGCGTGATTGTCTTGTGGTGAAAGCTTAGAATCGATCGACGATGAGTGTGAACAGGAAAAGTTTTGCCGGCGAGAAGCGCGACCCTCGTTGCCAGCTCGTCACGTCGTGCTGTGGCAAGTTTATGATCCGAGCATTATGCACAGATGGCCACAGTGATCACAGCATACCTTTACTCGAACCTTGACGCGGCAGTACATGTGACATTGCGTTGCAAGTTGCGGGCACAATAATTGCACCGCTACGCAACCATCCAGCAACACCACCTCAACGCCTGTTGTCCCAGGCATGCTATTTCGAAGCACAAATATTTGAGGTCTCTTCAAAATAAAGATATCGTGTCTACATAGTATGTTGCCTTGATATGAAGCTCGTGGAGATATTATTCAATCAGTACGAGTGATTAACGACGGGCGTCTCTCTCCGAACATTCCAATCCCAGCTCCCTACCATAACGGCAGGGAGCAAATGAGAAGTCACTCCAACACTTTCAGCGCTTGCGCTCAGCGTTGGCGATAACGAGGTTCGTGAACAAAGAAACGTTTCGCACGCGTGCGAAGATTTTACGGGAGGTGTGCAGCACGGACGCAAAGCGGTGTTGAGTAAGCGGAGAGCGTTGATTGGACGCGGGCATGACCTCGGGAATCGGAGCAGGGTTGGACGACGACATCGATACGTGAAGCAGCATCAAGACATCCACGTTCGAACCTACGACGACGACGAGATCAATCGCAGAAATGGCTTCTCAGCGTGTATTTCAACTCGGCTTGCGCCGTGCAGCTGCCGCCGCCTTCAAGGTCCAGCCCGCCGGCCGCGCCGTCACGAGGAGGTACGTCGAACAGCAGACCCTCGCTATACCGACGAACAGCATCGACCTCGATAGCCCGACATAGCACAAGCACTGGAAGCAATCAATCGCCCTCGCAGCTGTTCCGAGCAACCTCGCCTCAACGCCTGCCATACTAGCAGCTTGCAGCGCCCGCGGATAACGTATCCGCACGCCTTGAACCAGCACTAACGAGGCAACACAGACTCGCAGCGACACAATCTGCGTCCCAAGAGAGCGCAGCCGAAATCCTCACAAAGCAGCGCCTCAACCGCCCCGTCTCGCCCCATCTCTCCATCTACCGTCCTCAAATCACCTGGTACGCCTCATCGCTGAACCGTGTCACCGGCATCACTCTTTCCGGCTCGCTGTATCTGTTTGGCCTCGCCTACCTCGCTGCGCCGTACACGGGATGGCACCTCGAGACCGCCAGCATGGTTGCGACAGTTGCTGCTTGGCCGGTCGCGGCGAAGGTGGCGCTTAAGAGCTTCTTCGCTTTCCCAATGTTCTTCCATAGCTTCAACGGTGTGAGGCATCTTCTGTGGGATATTGGTGTTGGATTCACAAACCAGCAGGTCATTCGCACAGGGTGGAGTGTTGTTGGTTTGACCGTTGCCACTTCGCTGTACTACGTCTTCTTCCAGTGAGCATGTCAAGGGTTGAGTAGAGAAAGACAGAAAGATTGGCGCAATTGAGGAGCGAACACAGTAATGTGTCTGAAATCACGAGGGGGAGGCGGATGAAAGAGGTTCAAGGCTGGGTGGTCTGGTCGAGGTGGAAGCACAACTTGTATATTCTGCTTGTTTTCCAATATGATTTATTCGATTTATGGGTGTATTTTGCACGTGCGTGCTTCCGCTACTTCGGTATCCAGGCAGTCACCACGCGAGACTGTCTTGTCCTAGAGCTTACTTACAGCTTTTTCCTGACTCATCCCGTCCTACTCCACTTCGTATCCTCCCCATTAGTCCCATTTGTCCCCTCATCATCTCTCTGCCTCACCGTCCCTGCGCCCGGCCCTAGCTCATCCCCAATGACCATCCCACTGAAATTCCCCTCCTCATCGACGTACTGGTCCATGTTCTCCACCGTGACCCAGCCACTCGCGCCCGGCGCGCTCAAGTCCGCGTCGATATCACCTCCTTCGTCATCAGCATTCGGATCCGGGTGCATATCCGCGCAGGTATTCATCGCGGCGAAGACGTCCTTGATACACGTGCTGTCTGCATCTGAGGAGGAGGCGTAGTTCGGTGGTAAGACGGTGAGCTCGAGGGTCTGGATGTCCTCTTCGGCGTTGACAGACTCGGCGTCGTTGAGCGAGAGGTTCATGTAGAGTGCTTCGATTTGCGATTTCCACTTCATGGTTGCGTGGAGCGCGATGGTGGGGTAGTTGATGGAGGCGCCGGTGGGTGTGGGGCCGGTTTGGAAGAGTATGAGAGATCTGTGTGTGTTAGCGACAATGTGTATGTATGTGTGAAGCAGGGAAAAGTACTCGGAGGTCACCCAGATATCTACATCCTTGATCAGGGTGTCGTCGCCATCAGTGGTCGTGCCGAACTTGGCGAATACAGGGTCTTCCTGCAGTTGTGATACTGGCGCTGAGAGTGTGACTCCGGAATAGCTTGCGTATGTGACTGGCTTTGCGCCGAAGAAGGTCGTCGGTGTCTGTTCTTGGTGCTCGTGTAGCGGGGTGAAGTCGGATGCCTGGGGCGCGGTGTTGACGTGTCGAATTGACATTTTGACGGTTCGGATCGGTCAATTTGGATTACGCGACTACAATTCTGTACTTTTGGAGGTATTGGAGCATTCAGTGCTGTGGCTGTGATGAGGTCACGCTGGTGTAGCTAGCTGCTTTCGAAAAAGTGGCCGAGCGTCATAGCTCCTTGCCTCGAACAACTGGTGGGACTCCTTCCTGCTCAACCCACCCGCACCTGCTTCTTGATCTGGTTTCCACGCCCCTGGAGCTCTTCTTCAGCTTTACAATGCCTTGAAGAAATTCAATCCCTGCGACGCCGCAAACATGTCCGCCTTTCCCACCAGGCCAATCGCCAAGCTCACCGGCCACAATGGCATCGTCCACGCTGTCGCATACTCCTCCGGCTCGCAGTCGTATATCCTGACTGGCTCCTCCGACCGAACGATTCGTCTTTACAACCCACAGAAGGCTCCTACAACCTCTGTCGCGCCTACCGCATCGACCGTTTACCCGCCCGGCCTTGTAAACAAGTACAGCGCACATGGCTACGAAGTGCTTTCTATCGACGTAAACACGGACAACGACAAGTTCATCTCCACCGGTGGCGACAAGACAGTCTTCGTATGGGATGTTCAGACTGCGCAGACAGTGAGGCGCTTCACCGGGCACTCGGGGCGCGTCAATCGTGGGGTCTACGGCGGAGATGGAGACAGCATTATCGCAAGTGGAAGCTTCGACGGGACAGTCAAGATATGGGACACGAAGTCGAACGCATACAAGCCCATCATGACGCTCTGCGACGCCAAGGACAGCATCACGGATGTCGCTATCCACGATGCGGAGATCCTAGCTTCCAGTGTTGACGGCAGGGTCAGAAGCTACGATCTCAGGACTGGCATGTGCCAGGCTGATGTCATTGGAGCGCCCTGTACAAGCTTGGCTGTCTCGAAGAAGGGCACGGAGATGCTGGTCAGCTCGCTCGACTCGACCATCAGGCTCATGGATCGAGAGAGCGGAGAGTTGTTGAAGGCGTACAAAGACGATGCTTTCATCAACAAGGACCTGAGAGTCAGAAGCAGTTTGGGGTTGAACGATAGTGTTGTGCTGAGTGGCAGTGATGATGGCATGGTCTTCGCATGGGACATCATGGGCGAAGAGTGCATGCACCGTTTCAAGCATTCTGAGATGCGCGAGGTGCAGGGCGAAAGACCAACAGTGCAGTCCACCAGCAAGAAAGAGATTGTCTCGGCCGTGACTTTCTGTAAGACGAGAAGAGAATGGGTCAGTGGAGGTGGCGATGGCAATGTCATTGTTTGGGGCGTTTGAGCAACTCTGCTTCGAGACAAGCCACCATGAATCTGCCTAGAGGACTCCGTTGCCTCGTACCTAGGCTGTCAGATCATGTCTCACCGCTAGCGTTTTCAAGACCTCCGCTTCTACGACTCGATGCTGTCCACCAATGAAGCCTCCTTCACCCCTCCCATTCAGTGTTGCGGTTCTGAAATCATCTTCAGTTGCGCTTGGTCTCGAATCGCGCTCGAGTCCCTTTGGTACACCGGCAATGGCTCATGAATGATGCCAGTCTCAAGTTCCAGGTCTTTCTCCTGATAAGTTCGTCCTCCATATTGTGGTATTGTCGATGGAGACTTGATCCGGAATCCTCTCTTGACACCATGCTTCCGTCTTCGATCCCAAACGAAGAGTGATATGGTAATGATGCCCAGGGTGCCAATGATCACGCCGACAATAATTGCTGCGTGTGTGCTGCTGCTTGTTGGCTGGTGTTGAGGACGGGCAGATGGACGAGGGTGTGTTGGCTGCATCGCAGCTTGCTTGAGTGGATTGATGCGGCACGTCCGAGTATCGGGGGCAGTGAATTGCCCCTCATTCTCGTGAAGCCGCAATGAAGAGCTGGTTTTATGGCGATGAGAGATGTATGACGAGATCTGAGGTAGTACAAACGGGAGTACAAGAGGGATCGTCCGCGATGCAAGGAGTGCGTGTTGGCTCGGTCGATACGACTACACGCACCAACACCAGAAGCTATCACAACCTTACTGCTACCTTTTATACTGGTACATACTCTGTATCACTAGCCACACAGCTAGAGCCACAATCTGCAGGTACCACGGGGATGCAAGCTGCCAAGGTCTTACTGCATCATTCACTTATATTCACATCTGCAGGCCACTCTGTTCGGGCATACAATGAGCAGAATCCAAACGCTGTAGGGCTGAAGGACGAACTCTGACAGCTTGGCAGTCTGACGAGCGTTGAACGGTAGGTCAGCGTCGCGAGGCCCGTGCCAGACAACGGCTTGCACGTGTAATTGGCAGCCATAGGGCAAGGTCAGCGCAAGATCTTACTTTACTGAATGCGATGGAGAAGATGTTGAGAGTGGTGCAGTACCCGCTCCTGCTCGACTCGCAAGGCTGTTACGTCAATCCGGTTTAAGTAAGGAGTTGACGACTTGAGCTTCAGACTACATCCCCTGCACTCCCAGATATTACCGTGTTCAAAGCATCCACATCTCATACCGCTCGACTTCATCGCTTTCTCCAGCTGCTTTCCAATTCCCAGGTCAGCCTTTCTTTATCCGCAGGCCCTCGGTCTCGATGCCTTGGGAGCCTCCTGCGGCATCATCGTTAGTCACGTGCAGCGACCTCGAAGATACACATGCTCAAGAAGCTATTCAGCACCATCTTCCTCTTCAATGCTACTTTTTCACGGGTTAAGACATACAGATTGACAGGCGGTCATCTCCGCTTCGCCTCGGTGTTGCAGCCGTACGGGTACCTGTGTAATTGAGGAAGGCGATACCGCAGATGTTTGGTTCTCCGTGGGCCTGTAACACCGCGAGCAACCCACCAACAAACAAACGGCCTGACACTGACAACGAGACGGAGCTCTATCTAAAATCGATTGAAGACTATACAGCGACCTCGAAACAGTACGTCGTTGCCTCAAACGCCAAGCAGTCACCGCTATTGACCAAAAATGCAATGCATCCTACATATACGGTCTCAACACGATCAGAAAATGATCACCTCTTGGCCGTTTTCCACTGCGTACAGGGAGACGGGTAATCTTGCTTTATACGCAATTGCGACACCACGCACGCTTGTGCTGAGTACTAATCCATCACGGAGTATACAAGAGGATGCACGGCATCACAAGTGAGTCCCACTCCAAAACAAGACGATCTTTGCTGATTCACAGAAATCACGCGTATCGCACAGTCAACGCTCACACTTGCCCTCGAGCCTCGCCTGAATGTAGTCGGCTCTGACAAGCTCTACGAAGCCATCATCATGTACGAACAATCGGATTGGTCATTCAAAGATCAGCAGTCAAAGATGCTCCCGCTGCTTGCGCCACCACCATATGCTCCGTCTGGACAGGAAACGTCTATTTTCGTACAGCAACCAGACCTACAAGACGACTATCGCTGCACAATAACAAAGCAAGGCCCTGACATCACGGTGGTCAGCATCTCCATACATCTGCACAAGCACACCGACGCCGACCGCATCCCGTGCTGGCGCGTGCGGCGCAAGTTCATTGCGCTCGACCAGCCCATCTGCGCGCACCGGTGCACATCAGACCCCGCATTTTTCAGGGCAGTGCGTCGACGTATGAATACGCTGTGCATCTCATTCGGCTCCAGGGAGTACTTGCCGTTCTTTGGAAGGTGGACTGACAAGAGCCGAGTGTGGATCTGTCGGGAAGAGGGGTGCAACATGTCAGCCTGGATCACGGAAGACCGCGATACTGGGAATCTGAGACTGCATGCCCGAACATATTGGGCTGGTGAGTTGGGTGAGGACGACGCAAAATTGTTGGAAGCCGTCAAAGTGAGGGCCGAGGAGGGCGGAGGGTTAAGGTACGAGTGAAGGAAGGGCGTCTCATACGCGGCTTTGTCTCTCTCGCCTGCGTCACGGCATACTCTACCAGTTTCATTCAGTTAACGAGCAGTCAATTGGAATTATAAACAGCTTGAGCTCTTGGGCCGGATTTACACCAGCATAAGTCCAATGAGCGGGTCGTACAGTCCACTAAAGGTTCATGAATGGATTCCGCTACCACTCAGATGCCTGCGCAAACCCTCTTCTAGGAACGCTCCATGGTATTCGTACTATCGTGCCTCTGATAATCGTCACACCCTCCTTTTGTCAAAATCTGACAACATACCGCCCTACATTCTCGTATTTCTACGACCATGAAGCATCTGGCTTCCCCTGCAAGGATTGAATGACAGACAGCGAACAGTGCCAATTGGACAGTGCAGCTTAGATTGGATAGTAGCCGGATATCTAACAACCAGTAGTCAACGGTATCATAGGATGTGGGGGTTGGCGGTGGAACCTCGTGAAGGTACACGTCTGAAGAACATGCGGTAATTAGCAGGTGGAAAGTCGTGCGAAGATTCAGGATTGAGTAACCGAAAATCGCTGGAAGTAAGCTTAGACATCAGGCTGACGATCTTTCGTCCTCTTTGTATTCCCCATGATCGAGTAGACACTCACGTTTTCTTGTGGCTCGGCTCTGTCTCGATCCAGCAACGCAAACAAACGCTCACTCAAGTGCGCCCTCGTTGCAAAATGCTCAGCTCTAATGCACAGACCTCAAACGCATCATTCCAGTGCTTTGAGCAATTTACTCATCATCTTCCCATCCTCCCGGTGAACACTTCTCACAATCTCACCTGCCGTCATTCCCTCCTTATCCACGGTACTCACATCCGCCCTAGCATCAACTAACACCTTCACCACACCCACATTCCCATACTGTACGGCGGTATGTAGCGCTGTGCGTCCTTGCAGACTACACCGCTCCTCCAGGTACCGAGGCCCCCGGAACCAGTCGAGCAACTCGTGTGTGATCCGAGAGTTGGTCTCGTAGTCGAAGTAGGTCCGTGAAAGCGGGTTACCGGATGTGTAGCGTAGCCCAGAGTAGATGAGGGTGCAGAGGTGTAGCGCCGAGAGGTAGCGGGTCGGGTCAACTATGAAGTTGACCGTATCCGTTTCTAGGTCTGTGCGGGGACCGAGGAGATAGCGTAGCGAGGTGATGCAGTAGTGTACGTTGAGGGTGATACGCTAAACAATTACCTCCTTGTTCTTGTCTAAATTCCTTAATTTAGGCATACAATTAGCTTGTGTAGGTTGTCCAGCGTGTTAATTGCGTAGTGTCCTGTAAGGCGCGTTATAGAAGGCTTGTTGTGGCATTGTGTTGTAGATAGAAATTGTGGTGGGGTCTTGGCAGAGTGGTCGACTCACCCGTCCGGTCGACTCACCCGTCCGGTCGACTCACCCGTCCGGTCGACTCACCCGTCAGGTACGTTAACTAACTCACTTGTACTAAAAGCTGCAGGTTAGTCCTGGGGTTTTCACGTTGTCAAGTTTTGGTTTTCGGGTTTTGTTGTTCGCTGTTTGATTTTTAGCACTCTGTCCTTAATCGCCCCCCGTACCCCGCGGCAGGCGCCCCACGGGCCCTGAGATAACTGCGGCAACATCAGAAATAACAACGAAGGGAAGTACAGCCGGTACTAATTGCTCGTGCATTCGTCTAATTTTCGTCCTTTTCAGGAGGATATCACACCAACGCCATGTAAATTAAATGCAAAAGTTCATTCTCGTCCAACCAGGCTGCTTACCCAACCCACCTTCTGGCGCTCTTGAACATGCGGCTCCAGGGGCCAAGCTCTTCCCACTCCGCAGCCTGATCCTTGGGGATATAGCTCGCAACCTCTTTGAGAATTGTACGCTCGGGGTGAGGCATGAGTGCCAATACGCGACCGCTTTTCGAGCGCACACCAGTGATACCCATTGGTGACCCGTTGGGGTTGTAGGGGTATGCCTCGGTCTGGTTGCCGCGGTTGTCAACGTATCGCATTGATACCAAGTTCTCGTTGTAGAGGTTCTGTGGTGTAACGGATGATGTTGTAGACGAGGCAAAGTGCGCGCGACCTTCTCCGTGGGCTGTGACGATGGGCAGTTTGGAACCGTGCATGCCGTGGAGGAATACGGAGGGCGTGTTGTTGGGGCCCTGAGGATCTATGACCTCGACCATGCAGACACGTGCTTCGTACTGTTCGGACGCGTTACGCTCGAATGTGGGCCAAGCATCAGCACCAGGAATCAGCTCCTTCAGCTTGGACAAGAATTGACAACCATTGCAAACACCGAGCGTGAATGTTTCAGGACGCTCGAAGAAAGTCTTGAACTCCTTGCGGGTATTAGGGTGGAGCAAGACAGACTTAGCCCAACCCTGACCAGCGCCCAGAACGTCACCGTAGGAGAAACCACCACAGGCTGCGACGCCAGAAAACTGAGCAAGTGACACTCGCCCCTTAATGATGTCAGTCATGTGGACATCAATGGCCAAAAAGCCAGCCATGTGGAAGGCGAAAGCCATCTCGCTTTGACCGTTGACACCTTCTTCTCTCAGAATGGCAACACGTGGCTTGGATGTGAAGGCTGATGAGATGCTGGCCTTGAGCGGCAGGATGTTCTCTTGCGGCTTGAAGGTGAGATTGTATGACAGACCAGGATCTTGGTCGTCAACGATAGCAGCATACTCCCTATCCGCGCATTCAGGGTTGTCGCGCAGGCGCTGCATGCGGTACGAAGTCTCAGCCCACCTCTGCTGAAGCTTCGAGCGAGTGTTGCGGTAGACTGTTGTGGAGCCAACGGCGATAGACAGACTCTGCTTAGAAGCCCCAGGGACGCGACCAATTTTCTTGATCATGCCCGGAGGAGGGCCACACGTGGCGAAGCAGCGATTGAATGCAATCTCGTCCTTCTTCCTAACCTGGAAGACAGCACCAAGCTCTTCGTTGAACAGCGCTTCAAGAACATCCTTAGGCTCGCTCGATTGTGCGACACCGTCAAGCATTATTTCCAGACCACATCGGCCAGCAAACATCATTTCAACGAGCGTAGTGAACAGACCACCATCAGACCTGTCGTGGTAGGCGAGAACGATACCAGACTCGTGTAGTTGTTCCACCGCATCGAAGTAGTCCTTGATGATATCGGCATCGTGAACGTCAGGCGCCTCGTCTCCAACTTGACCGAAAGTCTGGGCGAGGGCCGAACCACCAAGCGCCTTCCTGCCCGCTGCAAGGTCAACGTACATGAGAATTGTCTCGCCGACATCTTCGAGGCGCTGCAGGGCAGGTGTCCATGTTCGATCGATACGGTTTACGGGTGCGAAAGCGGTGATGATGAGCGACATTGGTGCGGTGACCTCCTTTGAATTACCGTCCTCAAACCACTTCATCTTCATGCTCATCGAGTCCTTGCCGACAGGAATCGAAATACCGAGACGTGGGCAGAGGTCCATGCCGATAGCCTCGACAGCCTCGAATAACGCTGCACCCTCACCAGGATGGCTGCTGGCTGACATCCAGTTAGCAGACAATCTGACCCTGGACAGCCTGTCGAACAGGCTTGCCGCGGCGATGTTCATTAGAGACTCGGCAACAGCCATCCTGGCAGACGCTGCGGCTGAGATGAGAGCCAGGGTGGGCTTCTCACCCATTGCCATTGCCTCACCAGTCTTGACGCCGGACATAAGTGATGTAGCTGTGACCGACACATCAGAGACTGGCACCTGCCACTTGCCAACCATCTGGTCACGAACCGTCAGTCCACCAACAGTGCGGTCACCGATGGTGATAAGGAAACTCTTCGATCCAACGGACGGGAGGGTGAGGACACGGTCGACAGCCTCTGCCACCAGACCGTCCTTGGGAACGTCTGGGATGTACATAGACAGACTGCTGTCGAAAGGCGGCAGCCTGAGTTTTCTCGACTCGACAATACGGGACATCTTCGGTGGCTTCCCAAAAAGCGTAGACATAGGCAGGTCGATGGGTGTAGGGTTCTCCTTGGAATCTCTGTCCTTGACGACAAGACGCTGTTCGTCCGTGGCGACACCAACGACGGAATAGCCGCAACGTTCGCGGTCACAGATCTTCTTGAACTCTTCGAGCTGTTGAGGACCAACAGCCAGCACGTAACGCTCCTGGGCTTCACAGCACCAAATCTGCAGGGGACTCATACTCTTGTCGACGTTGTCGACCTCGCGCAACTCGAAGATGGCTCCAAGACCAGAGTCGTGAACCAATTCAGGCAGCGCGTTCGAAAGCCCCCCGGCACCGACATCGTGGATGAACAGAATGGGGTTCTCATCGCCCATTGATCGACATGCGTCGATGACCTCTTGCGCTCGCCTTTGGACCTCGGGGTTTCCTCGCTGTACACTGGCGAAGTCGAGCTCGACCTTGCCTTCGCCAGACTGTACACTGGATGCAGCGCCACCTCCAAGACCAATCAGCATGGCAGGGCCGCCAATGACGAGCAAATGAGATCCAGCGGGTACAAGGTCGGGGTCCTTCAGTGCGTGCTGGGGCCTCACTGTGCCAACTCCACCTGCCAGCATGATGGGCTTGTGGTATCCTCGGATTTCTGACTCCTTCTCATTTGTGAAGACCTTCATCAACATGGTACGGAAGTAGCCGATTGTGCAGGGACGGCCGAACTCGTTGTTGAACTGGGCGCTACCAAGAGGCGCTTCGAGCATGATGTCCTGACTGCTAGCAATGTGCGCGGGCTTGCCAACATCGCGCAGCTCCCATGGTCGTTCGAAACCCTCTATCAGCAAGTCTGAGACGGTGAAACCAGCAAGACCAGCCTTTGGCTTCGAACCTCGACCAACAGCGCCCTCATCTCTGATCTCACCTCCAGATCCAGTCGCGGCACCGGGAAACGGCGAAACAGCTGTAGGATGGTTGTGTGTTTCGACCTTGCAGAGAATGTGTACTGTTTCCTTGATGCCGTTCCACTCGCCAGTCTTCTGGTTGGGAGCCCAAAAGCTTGCCTCCTCGCCATTAAGAACCGCAGCGTTGTCACTGTAGGCACTGACAACGTGCTCTGGGTTCTTCTTGTGGGTATTGCGGATCATGCCAAAGAGGGAGTGAGACTTGTGCATGCCATCTACTGTGAAGTCGGCGTTGAACTGCTTGTGTCTGCAGTGCTCAGAGTTGACCTGAGCAAACATGAACAACTCCACATCTACAGGGCCCCTCTTCAACTCTTGCGTATATGCCTCAACGAGGTACTCGATCTCTGACTTGTCCATGGCCAGACCAAGCTCGCTGTTGGCATGCTCGAGAGCTGCCTGGGCGCTAGTGTACTCATCGAAGCTGATGGTAGTGGCTTGCGCAGGCTCACTCTCACCAAAGATAACTTCGAGATTCGGTGCGTTGCGGTCGATAGTCTGGGTCATACGGTCGTATAAGCGGTCGCGGTTGGGGATTTCATCAGCTTTGAGCTGGCGGTCGAAAGTGGCGGCGATGACCATGCCACGCTCGATGCGCTTGACAGAGTTCTCGAGCGTACAGGTGCGCGCAATCATCGATGCCAATGAGCTCCATGGCGAGATTGTTCCTGCGCGAGGGCAGATGTAGAAGAGTGCAGTCTTGTCGTCTCTAGGTTCACCACCACGGTGGATGGCGTCAAGAAGCACCTGTGAAAGGCGATCATGGGTATCTGGGTACTCGCCGTAGTGCAAAAGCTGCTGCAGAGTGCTGAGCTCTGTGGTGCTCAACTCGCGCAGAGGATTAACAAAGTGCGCCCACAGAGAACGCACTTCAGTGGCGCCAATCTCCTGCGCCAACCGCTTCAGACGGAAGTCGGAGTGGGCGGAAGAGCCCGGCAGAATCAGGTAGGGGCTCTTGCTGGACGCCATGCTGGACGACGGCAGAGCCAATAAGTATGACAGAAGAGTTGTCGGGGGGTTCCGAAGAGGGATGCCTTTGCGAAGCCCAAAAGACCTGAAAGACTCGGGCGGACCATCGCGGGGTCTTCCAAAAAAATAATTCGCAGTCGGACGCGGGGCAAAACTAGCGCGGCGCGTTATCGGCGTTCCTTCCTTCACAAACACGTTCGGCACCCACCTCCCAAGCCAACATCATCAGGTTGGAGAGCACTCAATGCATCCCTCATATTTTGTGCAACCATACAGAAAGAAAGACACGGGTAATGGTCTCTATTCACATGATGCGAACAGAGGCGATATATCTGATGTCTTCGAGGCATATGTGCATTCATTGCACAGTGAAAGGATTACCAACATCATAAACATACTCAGAGCAAATTAAATGCTTACAAAAGCCTAGGAGCGAGGCGTGTTCGGTGCGACGACACAGAACGGTTCAGCAGTCAGAGACGCTGGCAGAGTAACGGCTCAGTCCATGAAGATGGAGCTCAGCTGGGCCCAGGCCATAGCCTTCAAGTCGTAGTTCATCAGCACGGTGTCGGTCAAAGCACCAGTCAAACACTACGTTGTCGAGATTGACAGACCCAGGCGAGGAGCCCGTAAGACAGCGATAGCAGCACCCAGCTCAGTAGCATGGCCACGAGTAGGCACAGACGCCGCCCAACAACATCGACTTGCTTTCTACGTATAACCGTTCGTCCTTTTCTTCCAAAGTAGTGAATTGTCGTCACTGGATGTACTGCGTTGTCATGACTGGCAGCACCTAATGCCCAAAGGCTCAAGAACGCCCTTCCAACCAGACCTACTTCGTACATGCTACAGAGTAGTCGCTTTACGGCGATTCCTACTTTGCGTGTGTATGGGGTGCTGCTGCGATGTCGCGGCATTGAGTCGGCATCCGCTATGCTGGTAAATGGAGATGAAAAGAGTATAACGTACTCTATCACCGAGCCGGTCATATCACTGAACCGGTCAAAATCTGCCAAGACCAACACAACTCTGCACTTCACAGTATGTCTCAACAACATCACGACCTATTGCTTCAACACAAAGGGAGACTGCAGCTTGCTCTCCAGGCCTACAATACCAGACAGTTTCAGAGCCATTGGGCTGCTGCTGCTGCATTCAACGTTAACCAACGCAGGCTCTCTGAACGCGCTAGCAATACTCCATTTTAACTTAACGTACGCGCAAACTGCTAGAAGCTTACTACAACTAAAGAGCAGACAATTGTCTAATATATCCTTAACCTTAATTTGCAAGGATTTGCGCCTTAGCTGTGTAAGGTAGTAGATATAGCTAATAAACTATTAGGTGTGTGTAGTAGGGAGCCTGTTAGTAAACTCTAGGCTATAAGATTTGTAATGCGTTTAGATTAGCTTAAGATAGTGTTTAACTAAGTAAAGGACAGACAGAGGATACTATAGGAAGATCCTAAGGTAATTAACACGTAGTTTATGCTAGTAGAGGGTACTAAGTAGGCTGGCGGAATGGGTATACTCCAACGTCCTTCGTGGGTACCCCCCAAAACTTTGTCAATAATACATGGATTCTAGCAAAATAGGGCTTAAAAGAAAGAGAAAAACTACCTCTACATTTCTGTAGTAGAGGGTTTTGTTATAACTATTAAACTGCATAAGCTAGAGGCTAGAAAAGGTTAAAAAAGGGGGGGTACCTAGCAAGCATACCTATTAATAGGTATACTTTGCTAGGTAGTGTTAATAACTTAGCTAATACTAGGCAGAATAAGCTAATTCTTTTTTTATTAGAAGGCGCAATACTAGGCGCTTCTATTGAATAATAGATTATGTAAGCGTATCTCTGCTAGTTAAGAAGCTATAAGCCAAAACGTAAAAAAGCATACCCTACCCATCCGCCAGCCTAGTACTAAGGCTAAGTATAGCATCTATAACAATAACATGCACAACTTTAATAAGACTAGGTTCTAGATAGGTGTAATAGGGTTAATAAAGGTTGTCACAGGCGCTAAGAGACGCGCTCAACCTGAGCTTGTTCAGCCAGGCAATTAGGAGTGGGTTACAGTTATACAGAGCATCTGCGCTGCTAGATATGCGACCCCACCTTTCACTATCTATAAAGGACGCATCCATATCTCTGCCTAGTATAAGGAGATAGATATACCACACAATTAGAAGCTCTCTGTCTCTGAGAACAGCTAGACAAACAACACGCTTAGCCTTGAGTGGTTAAAGCATTTTAACGCGCATACAAGAGCGCGTTAGGTAGGGGGATACAGGCTACTTATCTTGGACAGCTATAAGAGCCACCTTAACTAGGATTTTAAGGACTATTGCCTAGATAACAAGATCCTTACTCTCTGTATGCTAGCTTACTTGTCACACATCCTCTAGCTGCTTAACGTGGTCTGTTTCTCGCTGTTAAAGCGCAAGTACTCCTAACATGTCTAGGACTTAGCACGCTAATGCGTCTTCTACATTAACAAGGAACATCGGGAAAAGTTTTTCGAAATCCGGCCTAGACCGGCCGTTGCTGACAGTTGTGGCATGGTCGTGCAACGGCCGTTCAACAGCCCCAACAGCCCCAATTTGCGCCCAACAGCCCTAATTTCGCGCTAACATTGCTAACAGCTAAAACGCTAAGTGCCTATATTTAATAAACTTAAAACAACGTTGCAACGTTGTTTTATAGCTACCCTTAGTAGTGCTAGCACTAGCATTAAATATTTAAAAATTGCAAAATTTTACATATAGATAGAGCGAAATTGTAGCTTTAAAATAAGCAAAAAATTATTGTTATAGGCCTACTATAACGCAAGTTATAGAGCGTTAAAGGTTTGTTTATTAAAGGTTTGTGTTTTGAAGTTGCAACAGCACACCATAGCAGCTGCAGCTGCGCCCACACACAACGTAGCAGCTGCAACAGCATACAGCATAGCACCTGCTAACCACAACACGCACACACACACACAGCAGCAGCGCAACAGGAGCTTGCAGGACAGGCAAGCCTAGGCGTAAAATTCTTAGTTTACCTACTATTCTTAAATAATATTCTTATATTTTCTAACATTTAGGCTGCTAGAGCCCTAGCAAAGAATCTTAACTTAGTGTCTTAGTAAGGAACATTAAGCTTAAAACCTTCTACACTTAATAACTATTCTATTACTAGGCCTATAATATTATTTAATAGCTTATTTTAAAGAGGAGACATAGTAGTATATTAATATAATAAAAGTATAGTTTATTAAGCAGAGCTACTATTATAGCAGGATTAGGAGTTGTTATAGCTATTATAGCTGTTAGGACTGTTAGAGCTGTTAGCTTAAAATTAGCTAGACATTAAATACACATTAAATAACTGTTGTAGGCCTACAAGTCCTACTGTTGCCTATAGTACAATGCCACGATTTCCTAATTTCGACAATGGAAAAACTTTTCCTGATGAAGGCTTCCTTCTAGCCTTTAGAGACGTGTTTCTTAACATATTTACAAAGGCTAACTATTAGAAGGCCTTTAAGGTATTAGGGCTAGTCCCTACTAACACGCAGGTAGTGTTAGATTACCTTAAGGTGCAACACTGTACCCTACTAGCACCCCCTCTACTAGAGACACTATAGCAGTTAAGGACTCTAAGTAATACACACAAGTTTAGGTCTTAGTTAAAGCTTGTACATAACTCCTTTACTTAGTTACTAGTTATAGCCTAGGCTAGCTTCTCTTAGCTTATTAAAGGTGGTGAATTAATATTGCACTAAAACACGCTATAAGCTGCTCACATTACTAAGCTTAAAGAGCAATTAGCAGTCATGACTAGGAGAAAGTCGCGTAAGCAAAAGCAAATTCAGCATAGCAGCACACTTAAGTATGGCCTAGCAGCATTATAGGTAGCTGCTAAGGTGTCTGTAGCAGCTTAGCTATTAAAGAAGACTTGTAGTGCAGGTACTCAAGAAAGGACCTAGTTAGCCTAACAGCGCTGTAGAAACTGTAGAGGCATAGGGCACAACGCTTAAACGTGTTAGAAAGATATAGAAGAAGATTCTAAATCTAATAAAAGCACGCAGTACACTAGATTACTATTTAATAGCAAGTAATTCAAGTTACTGCAACATAAGTTGGGCGCGCCAAGAGATTTTGACTAGTTTGGTGATATGACTGGCTTGGTGATAGAGTACGTTATGTATCAGTCATGTGAGTCCGCACAAATTACGCGTCTCGTCTGTGCATCAAATCACCGAAATTCAGGCCACGGTACCGTAGTTAGTCAGCAGATGCGCGCCATCACCAGATGCGCCGAACGCGTATTCTGCACCAAAATCCTCAACATCATAACGTACCCCACGGGCGAGTCGGACACACGGGCGAGTCAGACGCTTTTGCCAAGACCCTACTAAACCTCACCCTATTATGGCCTAAAACACCACACTCTGGCGCTGCAAGGTGCAGTACAGCTTAGAATATCATTTAGAGACTACTTCTATATTATTCTTACACGTTCGCGCGTTGTGCCTAGTCTAATTGCACTATCTACACTGTAGTATTGTTAGGAGGGCTTACCTACTTCAGCGCGCACCTGCTTCTTTAACTTCTTTCTATTACTACGTGCCCTAAACTCCTTTAGAGCTGCTATCTGCTGCCTTTCCTTAACTATAAGGGTCCCTTCCTTCTAGATTTGCTTTCTTTTGCGTAATTTACATTTGTCAGATAAGAGCGAGCGGCGAGAGGTTGGATCTGCGCAATCGAGCAGGGACCTGTCGTGCAGCCAATCAGCAGTTGCCAGGTCGATTAAGCGAGACCTGGCAACTCCTGATTGGCCCGCACACCGGCGGCCGCGAACAGCGCTAATTCCCCCCCACTTCAATCCTGTAGCAACCAGCACGACGCCACGGCAGAAACACCATCGCCACGATCATCAATATATCATTATACCACCTAAGATCTCGTTAAGCACATACTCTGGCTCACAGTACGAGCATCTGACAACATTCTGTGGCAGCTGCTAGAGCTGTATGAGGCTTAGCGTTCTCCTATTGCGCTAAAACTAGCTTGTGTGATAGAATTACTCCCCCCTTTGCGTAGTGCTTAAGCGCGCTTAGCATAGAATTAGGTAAGCTACCCTGCTACTTCTTATAACGTACTCCACGGGCGAGTCGCCCACTTTTGCTAAGCCCCCACCAAACCACCCTTCCTACACTAATGCCTCCTCAACACCACCATTTAGACGCGTTAAAGGAAGCTTAGATACAGCTTGCACTCTAGGCTCTTAAACAAGACGCGACTCTCTCTTAGCAACACGCTGCAGCTATCTATAGGGTTCCTTAAAAGACACTAAGCAACTAATACACAGGACAACCTTTACGCGCTAATTCTATAGCTAACTTACAGAAGCTAGACAATAATAAGGAGAAGGTAATTATTAAATATATTCTTAAGCTAGACACGCAAGGGTTTTCCCCTTAGCTCTTAGATGTGGCTACTATAGCCAATTCTTTGCGCGCTGAGCGCAATCTAGGCCCTATTAGCACAAACTGGCCTAGTATGTTTGTTAAGCAACACCTAGAGCTTAAAGTCAAGTTTAATTGCAAGTATAACTACAAGAGAGCCCTCTGTAAGGATCCTAAGGTTCTGCAGGGCTAGTTTAGCCTAGTAGCTAATATTAAAGCCAAGTATAGCATCTAGGATAAAGACATGTACAACTTTAACAAGATAGGCTTTATAATAGGCTAGATCTCCCTAGGAGTAGTTGTTACAGCTTTAGAGCAACAAGGTCAGCTAAAGGCAGTCTAGCTAGGCAACTAGGAGTAGGCTACAGCTATAGTAGGCATTAATGCTAAAGGATAGGCTATTCCTACCTTCCTTATCTTTAAGGCCTACTACTACCTCTCTACCTAGTATAAAGAAGAGGATCTGCCTTAAGACTAGGTTATTAGAGTCTCTAATAACAGCTAGACTACTAATAAGCTTAGTCTAGACTAGATAAACTACTTTAACAGGCATACAAAGGAGCGTACTATTAGCACCTACTATTTACTTATTATTAATAGTTATAAGAGCTATAACTCTCTTAAATTCTAGCAGTACTGCAAGGATAATAAGATAATTACTCTCTATTTGCCTCCCTACTTATCACACCTTACACAGCCTCTTAATGTGGCTTGTTTTGCTGCTTTAAAGAAGGTGTATAGGCACTAAGCTAAAATACT